AAACCAAGTGTCCAACCCCAGCGCCCAAATAGTGAAACTGACAGTACTACTGATATCACTAGTTGCGGATCAGAGCCGACAGACTGGAGCGCGTTATTTCAGTGCAACATAGGGTCAAAAACAGTTTTATATACTGTAAATAGACTACTTTAAGTTAATAATTATTTTAGGCAGACAAGGCTACCAAGTACTGCACAGCTCATTAATCTACCGCCCCCTCCCCCGATTACAGCCCTACAAACGTGCGTCATGCGAGCGACCGAACCCTGACCTCGGGTTCATCCTCGGCCGGAGCCTCTTCTGCCAACTTCAACTTCTTTTCTTTCTTCTTTTTCTTCTTCTCCTTTTTGACTTCTTCCTCTGTCTTGGATGTGTCCTGAGCGACAGCATCCCCACTTTCACTTCCGCTCTCGTCACGTTTCCTCTAGAACAACAAAGAGTGTTAATCCAATACCAACAGAAGCAAAACAATGCATTTAGTCTCGCTCTTCAGACGATGATTCCTTTGGCCGTGTTAAACTATACACCTTTTAAAAACACAGGGAAGATCACAACGAGAGATAGTGTTTTATTTAATGCCATGTCAGCATCTAAGGCTATTTTCATAGCAAAACAAAAAAAAAAAGGAAAAAATTAAAATAAATCCAAAACCTTTTCGGGCATAATCTTACAAAACAAGTCCTTCAGTAAAATAACTTAAAAGCATCATACTAGTATTTTAGCCTACCCAGGACTAATAATGTGTTTAACAGAGGCTAAACTTACAAAACATGCATAAAGTCGAGTCTTCACCTTTATCATGACCAGAGAAACAACCCAAGTTTATTCAACAAGCTGATTGAGCATCACAAAAAGAAAATTCATAAAATCACATGTACCTTCGCTGCGGTCTCAGCCGTCGCTTGACCCTTCTTCACCTTTGCAGTGCTACAAAAGAGAAAGAGAGAGAGTTTGTGAATGTAAATCCCACACGACTCGACCCCACACGCTGGAGATCCGCTTGTCCCGAGAGCTCAGGGGACGCCGGCCCGATGCAGACGCCAGATCCTGAGCTCAGGGCTTACTGTAGCAGACAGACTCCCGGCAGGGTCACCACAGACCGGACAGGGATAACAGTCTGCAGAAACACCTCATACACGCACACCTATATTTTAGCATTTTATCTTTATTGCCTTGCAAGAGTTGTAACATCAGGATGCACTGATAAATGGTGCCATCCTGTGGACACTAGCTGAACTGCATGTGTAATCAGGCCTGACATTCACCTGGGGATAAGATGCGTTTCAGTCGATCGGATCACGAGTGTACGACACTAAACACGGGTGTAAACGGGTCTAAAGCGCTTTGAGCTCGTCCACTTCCAGTTGAAAACACACTCGAGCGGATTGCTGTCGTAGTGTAAACGCTCATGTGTTCAAACAGACACTAAAAGAGCGTCTTCTCTCCGTCTCCTGAATAATGAGTGAACATTATAGAGATCTAGCCAGACGGGGTTTAAACTTTATCAGCTGAAGACACGAGGAAATCAAACACAATGTTCTCTCAGCGTTCCTGATTTGGCTGGAGAGGAAGAGAAACAGCCAGCTTCTTCCTGGCTGGAAGAGCAGAAACTAAATCTCCGGTCGTGTTCATATGTAAATAGCATGATCTTATTTTGTCCATTAAGATCTGAAACACACATTTACTCGCTCATACTCTCCTCTGAAGAACTCAGGACAGAAGTGGTTAAAGTGGACAAAAGAGACCGAATAAAACACTGGCGTAATCGGGAACGCATCCCCCTCGTCTATTTATGATCCGATCCACCAAAACGCATCTCAATACCAGCTGTAAACGGGCTGGTTTCACAAAGATAAACTGACTATGGTTTAGATATAGTAGATGGTCAGACTTCAGATAGACGTCTAAATTAGACCGTTGTACAAAGCACTGAAGACTCTGGCCGTTTCTCAAAACCAAGAATGCAAAGTACGGACTTGTGTTCTTGGAAGAACGAACTCACGAGGTGACGAGCACACAGAACGCTGCTGACCGTTTGAGACGATGCGTTCTTGCTGGTATTGCGCAATAGTAACGTTACGTTTGAGAAACGGCCTCTGACTATCTTAAGGAGTTAAATAAGCCACTTTTCAAAAAACAAAAACATGGCGGATCGAGTAAGCGCATTCTAATTGTTTTGGTCTAAATTAAGTCAGGCTTTATTTTGATGACAGTCTAGTCTATGAGCACATTTGAGGTTTGTCTAACACTATCCACAAGTTTCCGAGGGGCGCTCCTGTAAAAAAATAAAGTGGGTGAAACTTCCGGTGAGGCGGCGGAAGTAGCACTCCAATGGTATTTTGTGTGTTAGTTAGCGAAGAGGCTAGCTGTTTTTCGGAGAATTATTTTACTATTTAAAGACGCAAATCTTTATGAGAGATGTCGTTACGGAGCTCAGGGACAACATGTGCTGTTCGCGGTTGTATGTATAGCCGGACTAAACGAATTCAGTGGCTTAAACGTGATTGTTTTGAACATAAGCAGAAAACGAGTGATCCTGCCAGAGCCCGTCTCTGATCCTGCCAACGACTGTAGTTTCCATCACCCCCCAAAAGACGACGAATCTTCCTGTGTACATTTGTTTAAACTCTTAATATTCTCTAAACTCTATCAGCATGTGATTGGCTGTTCGCTACTGATGTTACACCTAAACTCAGGAGTTGACAGAATACCAAATGTGTCAGTTAATGTATTCAAGCAGCACATTCATTTATAATTTTGAATAAACTCCAAAGCACAATGACTAAGTGTGTATTTTTTATTTTAATTGTTTGTCAGCTCGCACAACTGTCTGTCACCATGCCTTGATGAGTATTGATTATTAATAATGTTGCGGAGGGTAAAGGTGCTGTTATTTCACCCTTTTTAATTTGGTTGAGGTTGTGTTCCCACATCGTTAGCTAGTTTGGATCGCTATAACTTGAATGACCGTCAACTGTTGAATGAACGAGTGTCAAGCATGTCAAGTCGCGCTTTGTTTACTTCCAACCGGAAGTCGCGCCCACTTTTGACGCAAGGCCTCATGGGGCGTACGAAACTTGTGGATAGAGCTTTGTGAAACTTGAGCTTAATCTAGAAAGTAGACTCCGCCACTCAAGCTGTCCATTTGAAACAGATTATAAACTTTAACCCATTGCTGCTCTGTGAACAGTAACAGTTCCTCCATCTCCACGTCTCCAGTCACGTACCTGTAGTCCACGTATCCCTCTTTCCAGTCCGCAGGAGTGCTCCCGTTCGGCTTGCCGTGTTTGTCCAGAAGTCCTTTCTGAATCATCATTTTCTTCTGACTAGCCTGAAACATAAAAACGTTACGAAACGCGTACACGACGTCCCCACTGAGAAGCGCGCGGTCTCTCGGCGTTCCTCACCTTCGGGCCGAGGCCCCATTTGCGTGGATACGTGTCCCGCTCCATAATGACCCTCTTGATTTTAGCAACAACGCCGTGATCACACGTGGAGATGACGGCGGTCGTCATCAGGGCCACCGCTGCAAACACACACACACACACACACACACCAGAGTAATGAGGATCTGCTGCAGGACCGCTAACACACCAATCCTCACACACAGCCATCAGTCTTGGGTGATAGATAAACAGTCATCTTTGCAGTAATGCTAATGTAATCTACATCACATCATCATGTGGCTTAGAACAGTGCATGCTGGGAGTGCACACGTCGTTCACCTGTACAAATGGCTTCTCCTTTAGTGGTTATAATGACGATGTCTTGATTGATCTCAATGCCATCTTCATATCGCAGGACGCCTGGTAACATGATCTTAGCGCCGTAGCATATAGCGTTCACCTGTAACAGAACACACGTCATTATCACAAACGTGTACGATCAAAACTCGTTCTGAAGAGTGTGACGTGAGTTCGCCTACAGCGCTGTCCTTCATGACGATCCTCTTGTGCGAGATGAGGAGTTTCTCCAGAGGGAAGATCACTCGCCGCAAGTACGTCTCGTCCTTGTTGTGGTCGAACTGCCACTGCGCGTCCAGCACGTCATGCATCGTCACCAGGTTATCCTAACAAACACACACACACACACACACAGTCACCAGGCTATCCTAACAAACACACACACACCGTCACCAGGCTATCCTAACAAACACACACACACCGTCACCAGGCTATCCTAACAGAAACACACACTGGGATCAAACACCTGAACGCTTTAAACAGGGTCTCAATCTTTTAGCCCTCAAACTTCTTCACTTTATAGCCCTTAATCTTGTAATTGTGGACAAATGTGGGCAGAGGACTTCGATGTGATAATTTTTATTTATTATAAATGTTATATCACTGTATTCGATAAAGTTTTGTCTATCCATTTCTGGTGTTTTTTTTTATTTTGGGGGTATTTTTGAATTTATTTACTTCAAAAAGTAGCATATTTTTTATGTAAATTATGCTTATTTTTATGTTTTATTTTTTTAACTACATTAAAATATCATTCCAATAAGTTCTTAGAGCTGAAACCTAAAGAAGAAGTGACTTTGCGGTCATTATTTTGGCTTATTTTAGAATGCTCGAAATTACAGTTTTTCCCATTCATTTCTATGGGTGCCCATTTTTGACCCGTAGTATTATTTTTAACCCATTTAACATTGTAGAATTAGGTCAAAAAAATTGTGTGTTCAGGAGGCAAACTTAGGAAAAGTAGCCAAGTCTTGTACCGCTCAGATCAAGGGAAGTATTTTTTAAAAATAAATCAAAACTATTTCGCATAAACGTATCTATATGCAGATCTAAAAACAACCCAACACCCTACATTTACAGCATTTTAATCAATTTTACAAATGCAGAAATCTCCAAACAGAGGTTTTGGGAGACGGTCAGGTTCAGCTCATCTCTGGGTAACTCTTTATCCTCAAATATATTGAAGTGGATGGACTGGAGCGAGCTGAACTGACGGATCATTACTAACTCTGATGAAGAACATGTTCCTAAAGGAGTTGGTGTCGGCTGGAGTTTGATGAAAGAGGTCAAACACCACTTCATGATGATTAACTCTCAGCCGTTTTCTGTCCCAGAGGTTAATTAGCAGAACTGGGGATCAAGCCCAGAACTGAACTCAACACTCTGGTTCCTCAGACCGAGACCCGGTTCTCACCGTACCATTTCTCCCAGAACCCCCGAGCGGACCCGGCGGAGCTCCTGCATCTGCCCTCCGACCCCCAGCAGCAGCCCCAGGTGCACACACAGCGTCCGGATGTACGTGCCCGCCTCACAGCTCACCCAGAAGATGCCTGCAAACACACACACACACACTCACAATCTGGCACTTCGGGAACGGAGTCATTTTAGTGGATTTAACCCTTGAAACACACCGTATCAACAGAATCGCCATTTGCTGGTATATCTGCGCCTGTGCGTTTAAGATTGTGCCATTTTACAAAGATAAAGTAATTTGCTGCAGATAAGCTCTATTAAACAAAATAAAATGCTTGATTGACTTAAGTCTGTATCTCAAACACTGGAGTAGGGCTGTGAAACAAATCACCATCAAAATAAAAGTGTGCGTTTCCATATTGTGTACAGCATATAATTATATCGTGCATGCAATATATATATACACACGCACATGTATGCATCGGATCAGTCAGGATTGTTTACATGTGCACTGCATAATTGTGTGTACATACATATACACACATACTCGTATACATACACGCATATATATATATATATATATATTTATATACACAAACATATATATTTGTGTATATATATATATATAAATGTGAGTGTGTGTGTGTATATATATGTGTGTGTGTGTGTATATATATATATATATAAATAATGGCTGTCAAACGATTAATCGCATCCAAAATAAGTTTGTGTTTACATAATATATGTGGGTGAAAGGTGTAAAATTATTTTATATATGTAAATACACACACATGCTTGTATACATCTAAGAAATACATTTTCATGTATATACAGTATATAGATTTATATATCATTTATATTATATATAAATATTTTTTTTCTTAAATATACATGCATGTGTATTTATATATATATACAAAATTTATTATACACATTTCACCCACGTATATTATGTAAACACAAACTTTTATTTTGGATGCGATTAATTGGTTGACAGCCCTAAAATATATATATATATATATATATATATATATATATATATACACACACACACATTTATATATATATATATATATACATACACACAAACACATATACACACATTTTTCTTAAATGTATACATATATACATGCATACACTCTCATATACAAATTTAAAAATTGTTTATACAAGATAATTATATGTAATATATATACACTTGTATGCGTGTTTATATATACAAACAAATTATATGTAGTGTACATGCACTATGTAAACAAACTTCTTGGATGTGATTTATCAACTTCACAGCCCTACTCTAGAGAGCGACCTCTAATGACGGGCATTTAGTCGTGTGTGTGTGTGTGTGCGATTTGTGCGGGTTGCACTAAAGCCATCAGTCTGGGGTGATAGATAGACAGTCATCTTTGCACAGTGTGCTAATGCAATCTACATCACATCATCATGTGGCGTACAGTTCATGAGTCGAGAGGACATAAACAAGCTTAAGCTCCTGACCTAGCCTCCTCTCGGGGTCGTACTCGATCAGCTTGCTCTCGTAGATGGTGCGCACTCGCAGCTGACGCTTCACAGCGGCGATGAGCGGAGGCCTCTGGAACAGGGCTCCTGTTAAACACTCCATCGCCTGAAGAGAAACACACACACTGATGATGATCTCACACAAGACCTCCGGCACTCATTCACGGTCCACGTGTGTAGGGGCTTTCGCACCGGAGGAAGCGGTTCACAGTTTGAGGAGACCGAGAGAATCATGATTGTGTGTTTCTGCTCACACACACTAATAACTCTTCATTACTGACGACTTCCAGTTATTTGAGACTGAACGTAGACTAATGAACACGGAGAATGCGAGCGACGTCTAAACAGCGAGTGTGTCTCACATCACTCAGAGGTCATACTAGCGGTGCGAACGCAACCAGGAAAACGTTCATTAGTTCGGGTCACCATCTTATAAGCACCCGGTTCGAAAGCCCCGTGTGTGTTCAGAAATGTCCGCTCTTCTTCGGTGAACCCAGGCCCGCCCCTCACGCACGGTCTCGAGAGCATCCGACACAGCAGAACACTGCGGCAGAGACACGAGGCCGGCGGAGAGAGAGGAGGGCCGAGAGACACTCAGAGAATGGATAAACAAGTTCATCATGTCACACACACACACAGCAATGACCCGACTAAACTAAACATTATTCAAAACTACAATGGTATTTCTGCAATTATTCACTTTTATGCATTAGATCAGCGGTTTTTAAAATCAAAGAGTGTGTTTTAGCCTAATATTAAAGTATGAAATACAGAAATTGATTAATATTTTTTTAACTATGGTCTACACAATGAATTAAATGCGCTACAAAAGCTTTTCGCTGAAGTGATTCGCTCTGTCGTTTAATTATGACAGACAGCAACAGGTTTATTAGGCTCCTGTCACTTTAAGACTGAATGCACTGATTCAATATAACGACATTCATATGATTTTCTCCCTAAAGTTTATGTTCACTTAAGACTCAGTCATCAGTATTAGATCAGTAAAGTGCAGAAATGATATTTTTTAATACAGTCAAGTTCCCAATTATTTTCATTAGTCCCACTTTATTAAGTTGCTTTACTTTGTACTTGCATTGAAATTAATTTGATAAAATGGACTTATTGTGTAAATGTTTTTACATTGCACTTTAATTACATACAGGTATTTTTAAAATATATTGCATTTAAAATTACACCTTAACCCATTAAACCTTCCCGCACCACAACACCTGACCCGTGTCACTCCTCAACAGTAAATTGAGGTTATTTAACACAATAAGTAAATTGTACTTATTTTTAGATGCAATTACATGGTACTTGGAGCCACTTAATAAAAAGTTGGACCCTTTAGCTTTTTTCACCCTAATATTTTAATAATGCATCTATATAATGAGCGTTGCAAGCCCATATTTTATTGGTTGTGTTCGACCCCTCCCACCTTTCCACACCCAATTCCTCGAGTCTTCAAATCTGAGGCGTGATCCAGGATTTTGCTTCATTTTTGACCAGAGAAAACTTCAAACACACTTTCTCTATTCTGCACTACAATTTACTTTTAGATTTGCATTACTTTATAATAGTAATTATATAGTAATATAGTATTTAAAATAAAAATACAGTACTATTATTAAAGCATGTGCGTTAACTGGAGTTTGGGCGAATGCTTGTTAGTTCTTAGACAAAAGCACCTTTCTTGAGAATAATAACACTAGTATAATCCCCATCAGATGATTATTTCCGCCATATTCCCCCATCGATTTAAAGCAGAACACACTCCTACTTACCCTGGCTAGCTGGTGTTCGTTCTCTAGTGCATTGTGCAGCCGTACTATGCCCACATACTCTTTGCCTAAAAGCAACGAGACAAGAGTAGTAAGGAGAGGCTGCTGGTTTTAATGTGAGCTTGAATGGGTCGGCCTGGAAGTGCTGCGGATGACCCACCTGCGCTCTGCTGGGATTTAACCAATCGCGTGGCTCGCTCCACACACACGATCAAGCAACCCGTGACTTTGGGGTCCAGAGTGCCACTGTGACCCGTTTTCTCAACTCGAAGGATCCTCTTGATCCACGCCACGACTTCATGCGAGGAAGGATTGGCGGGTTTGTCCAGGTTAATGAAACCAGCCCTGGGGATACAGGTTCAACATAACACACTCGTGAACCAGAGGTACAACTTCACAACACACACACATTTGTGGAGGAGCCATCAGTCTGGGGTGATAGATAACAGGTCATCTTTGCACAAAGTGCTAATGCAATCTACATCACATCATCATGTGGCTTACGTCAAATTTTAGGGATGCACGATATATCGGTAGATATGTTCATTTTTAATGTCATCGTTATCGGCCCGATATATTAAAGCCGATAAATATTGTGTTATTTCCTCCAGCTGAGACACTTCAGATGCGCACTGTTCAACATGGTGGATTTGAATTGCTTGAAATATGATTGGAATCGCTTAAAAAAAGGAAAATACGGTTCAGTGCAACATGTCATATCAGTTACTTAAAATTGTAATAAAAACATTATAACTGCGTGCTTAAGAATTATCGGTTATCGGCCAATATATCGGTTTTCAAACTAAGAATTATCGGCCAAAATCTCGGCTTTGAAACTAAGAATTATCGGTTACCGGCCAAAATATCGGTTTTGAAATTAAGAATTATCGGTTATCGGCCAATTTATCGGTTTTCAAACTAAGAATTATTGGTTATCAGCCAAAATATCGGTTTTGAAACTAAGAATTATCGGTTATCGGCCAATTTATCGTTTTTTTTAAAACTAAGAATTATCGGCCAAAATCTCGGCTTTGAAACTAAGAATTATCGGTTATCGGCCAAAATATTGGTTTTGAAACTAAGAATTATTGGTTATCAGCCAAAATATCGGTTTTCAAACTAAGAATTATTGGTTATCAGCCAAAATATAATTTTTCAAACTAAGAATTATTGGTTATCAGCCAAAATATCATTTTTCAAACTAAGAATTATTGGTTATCAGCCAAAATATCGGTTTTCAAACTAAGAATTATCGGCCAAAATCTCGGCTTTGAAACTAAGAATTATCGGTTATCGGCCAAAATATCGGTTTTGAAAATAAGAATTATCGGTCAAAATATCGGTTTTCAAACTAAGAATTAGTGGCCAAAATATCGGTTTTCAAACTAAGAATTATCGGTTATCCGCCAAAATATCGGTGCATCCGTATTACATTTATTAACAGGAGTAGGGATGCACCGAAATGAAAATTCTTGGCCGAAACCGAAAACCGAAAAAGAGGAAACCAAGGCCGAAAACCGAAAACCGAAACACCGAAAGAAATTATGCCAATTATTAGTATCATTGCATTTATGGCTATGACTGTGTACAAACTTTACTAAAATCAAGGCATTGCAATTGCATAAATTAATATAACATTTTCAAAGAATAAATCAATTACAAATTATGCAAATATATATTTAGCACAATGCACAGTATAAAATAAAATTCAAACTAAAATGTTTAACTTGACCCCACTTATGTGTACACTAAATAATAATCTACTGGCCTGCAGAAAGATTTTAAAATGAAATGTTCTCTCAAAAACAAAGCCGAGTGCAAACTTCTCATCACACCAGCACCCAGTTTGCATGTCTAAATTAGTTACATTTTAAAAAATGTAGCATACAATAGCATAAAAAGCCTTTTTAAATGAACAATGGTCCATGTTTAATACAAATGTACATGAAACTTAATGACACATTTTTAGTGAAAGTAGAAAATATTTAAGAGAGCATTAATTTAGTTCTACATGTTCCCATATAAATATTTTTTTTGTAATGTCACAAGTAATAATCTCAGGGTTTACTGGGTTTTACATGATTATTTTTGTATTGGTGGTGAAATACAAAAAAAATAAACATTGTCATGTGTTTATCTGTCTTCTTCTCACCGATTCCTGATGGTTAGAGGACAGTTACTTGAGTCGTCCCCTGTCGTTTCAAGGAATAGTAACAGTTACAACGGAGCGCGCGTCAAGTATAAACGCCTCGACCGTTTGGAGCGGTGCACACGCTGTTTGTGGAGACTCGCGCTGCCTTGTTTACTTTCGCCTGCCTCCGCAGCGCGAGTCTAATTTATAATTTTTAATTGTTTCCTGCTCTAAACAATGCGTGCCGCCATGACGACGACTCCGGTTCCGAGCGGGTCAAGAGCGGTGCGCGCGCTGTCTGTGGAGACTCGCGCTGCCTTGTTTATACTTTCGCCTGCCTCCGCAGCGCGAGTCTCCACAGACAGCGCGCGCACCGCTCTTGACCCGCTCGCAACCGGAGTGGTCGTCATGGCGGCACGCATTGTTTATAGGTGGATAAACAAGGTTTCCGTCTCATTGCGGGTTCAGATACATTGAAATACGTCCACACCGCAGACATGTTGCTTCAGACAAGCACGTGCAGGTCGCGGTTTCTGTTTGCGTCATCACAACATTTCGGCCGTTTTGTTTCGGTGATAAAAGTCTTTCGGCCGAAAACCGAAAATGCACTTTTGGGCCATTTTCGGCCGAAAATTTTCGGCGGCCGAATATTCGGTGCATCCCTAAACAGGAGATTTCCCACCTGACATAATCACTGATGTTCCTCTTGAGCGGATTGGAGCCGTGAGGAAGAGGAGTGTAATGCGCCGTCCGGATGTTGAGCTTATCAAAATGCTGTAGAAAAACATGTAGGTTAGAAGCAGAAGTGAAGTCACGAGATTAGACCGAAGTGTGTCCGTGTGATCAGATATGTTTAATCGTCTTTGACAGAAGTGGGCCGTTCCCTCGCACAGCATCGTGACCCTGACCCGCTGACCCGACAGAACACCGGCCCAGACGAGCAGAATCAGACGCCGAAACCCTGTGACCCAGAACGAGCCGCGGGGCCGGCGAGGGACAGCAACACTAGCGCTCAGCGAATGGATAAACACGTTCATCATGACACACACACACGCCTGGTGAAAGGGTTTGTGGGTAAACACACTGACCTTTAAGAGCAACGGCCACTGGGACGTGTCCAAGGTCGCGACCTTCGACTCGGGTTTGATGAGGAAGTCTCCGCTTTCTTGAATGTCCTGACGGAACAGTTCAATGAGGTTATTGCTAAACTGATTTTGGAAATGAACAACTAGTTTATGATAAAAACAGGGGTGTAAAAAAAAAAAATGCGGATAGTGGATAGTTCGCCCAAAATAAACATTAGTGAGAGAAAAAAAAATTCTAGTTTTCAGAGTTTTAGTGTCAGTACTAAATTAAACTCCTATAAATAACGTTGAATATAATGTATAATAATGCAATGGGGGAATATCTGTGGTCCTGATAATGCCAAATGTCTGATGATGTTATCAGTAAAAGTGTCCTACATTATCTTAATTATGTTTAGCCACTCAGTGACAGAGATCATCATATTCATCTACAATAATTCCGTATTTTCAGCTTCAGAATCATGAATATTGTTATTCTGGTGTCTCTATTGTCTGTGTTTTGGGTTTCAGCACCAAGACTATTCATTTATACACACATTGTAACACCAGATTTAGCATTTTAATCAACAGTTCATTTTGTGCTAACGTTTAATCATGTATTGGAGTATTGCATTATCGCATTGAGTTCAGTGTCGAATCATGATGACATGAGAGGATCGCTACACTCACATATACAAATCATCAGGAAGTGTAATTGCACCAAAAATCGCACAAGTTGGTATTGTTGCCAGCCAAATTCAAACGAAAAGTTGTCTATGATAGGTCAATTGTTGCAGGCAAATCATTTTGATGTAAAATAAAATTGTGCCCTAAAGTGAATGCCATTTTACTCATTACAATACGGAAATAAAATGGATTCAGAATGGGAACACGATTTTTAGACAAAAACCCAAAACATGTTGGACCAGAATTTCTGTTGTGGACACATTATATTTTAGTGAATGTCAGAGTTTTAAGTGTGAATGTCCTGTAAAAGAGCACATTAAGGCGTTTCAGAGATACCATCACAACAAGTTCTGCTCAGTCTTTAGACTGACATTAATTTAATGATCAAATGCAACACTCAATATGAAATGACAGTTTGAGTAAATGTGAATTATTAATCATTTAAATCCAACTACTTTTCAAATTGTTTGACAAAATCAACAATTCTGAGTGGAAAACGTTATGTAGTTTCCAACCAAAATATGACTGTTACAGAACAGGGCATTTATTTCATCCAAGAACACTGTAGAGACACCAGGATTATCAGGAGTTATACAAGTGGAATTATATATCACTATTCCTGTGAAACACTAGATAATATGAAAATCTTATCAATCTTCACTCCAATTTTTAAATTTCTCATTTCATGTTGCCCCAAGAACACGTCAATATGCAGATTAGACCGAGTATTGAATGGGAAAACCTTTTTAATCGCCATTTTCACTCTTAAGTAAAATGGTGCATCAATTAATTCCAATATATCTTTCATAAGAGTTGAGAATCATCTTTATGCGAAGTCTGATTAAAAAAAAACAAAAAAATCCTGAAACCTGCTAATTGATTGCTGAATGAAGAAACCACACTTTTTTGCCAATACACGTAATTTCATGTCTTTAAACTGACTTAGTATTGGTGTCACTGCAGAGGACATAGCAAATCATTAACAAAATACTTTTTTTTTTTTTTTTACAAATCAAGAAAAACGCATGCATATAAAACTGCAATTACCCCAACGTCTCCTGGTGAAATTTTCTGTGACTTTCTTTTCTTCTCTTTCTTAGCTGAACCTACTGGGGGACATAAATAACATGAATTAAGTACAAGAGAGTTGTGTAATGTGTGGATCTACATAAAACATGATAAAGCAAGCCTCATCGAGCGCGTGCACGGCACTGAACGGGACCACGTGGCCTGAGTGAGCAGCACGTGGCGTTTGATTTAGCGCCCCAACTTACCACTAAACAGCTTTAAAATTACATTAATAACGTTAAACGTTGCATTAAACCACTGTCTATCACTGCCAATCACACTGCGCTACGATAAATAGGTAGCAAATCTAATAAAAACTTACACATATTAAGTGACCATGAGGTTTGCAGAAATTTGATAACTTAAAGTTGCTGAAAATCTGGCCATTTGCTGTATATCATCATTCATTTATTTACGTACTTATACGATTTATAAAAAGGAAAGTTATCCGACTTCCATGCAAGCAGAAATACATTTACTTCAGAAAGCAGAAATACATTTAACGTTACTTAAATGTAAATGTACTTCCTATACTGATAGCTACCTATATGACTGGTCATTTGAGATAGGAAAAAAGATAAACTAAAGTTATCATTACCAGCTTCCCCCCTTTTCTTTAAAACATTATATAAAATCAATAAATCCAAACTACCACCAATAGTAGAATTAATTAGCAATAAGACATTAATGAGAGCATGTGCACTAGTCACGCATTTCTACACGCAGCCGGGAATAACGCGTGCTGATGAAGTTAAGAACTCAGCTTTGATGAGTTCAGTTCTACCCCTCTTAATCACATTATAAACGTGTATAAATGCACATTAAAGTATAGTTTAAAGTTTACAGCAATCGTAGCAAAAACAACGCAAGATGTGTAACGCATGATCTTACTTTCCACGTCCGCCATCTTCGCTGCTGCGCGCTCAGAGAACAGCAGCACGTGTGACGGTTCGCGCATGCGCTTTACTCTGCGGAGGCGGAGAGAGAGCGGGCTCACATATCGGGATTTGTAGTATCGCGATATTATAGCGCTCAGAACCCTTCAATCTTTTGGAATGAGATGTCTCAATTTCTAGGTTTTAAAATGAATTGCAACCTTGTCTTAAATCTGTCTTACTTCATACAAATGATTTTGAGTTTCCTATAAGAAAAATGTATGTTATCGATTTGTTTCTATTATTAGGAAAATTTCATATTCATCAATCTAAGTGGAGTAACTCAAAACCCAACTTTGCTCATTTCAAAACAGCCTTTAAAATGTATTTTGAGTTTGAAGTTTTATAAAAAAAATAAATAAAAAAAAAGCCCAAAGATTTGTATCCCTGCTAAAAGTCTGTGATGCCATCTTTATTTTTTTTCATGTTTTTTTTCTTTTTTCTTATTTTTCTTGTTTTTCCAAATCACGGTTGTCTCATGTTTTAATGTTTTTACCTACCAGATGTTACACTTTTCAGAAAATGTGTAAAAGAAATGTCAAGAACTTGATATCAAACTCTTTTATTTTGAAAATTCAAAAAAAAAAAAAAAAAAAAAAAGAACACGGAACGTGACCGCCTTGTTTCGGGAATGATGGAAGATAAAATACTTATAATCAGACTACAGTTACATTTTTATTGATGAAATACTTAATTTTCACAAAATAACAAAAAAAGGATGAATAAATAACTGATTTTCTTTTTTAAAAAAGCACGTCACTTATATCTGTTCATAAAGGATACTTACACAGAAAATTGAGAGGCCACAACAAATAAAATATTTAATCTTTTTTTTGTTTCATTTTGAAAAAAATGTAGAAAAAAATTAAGTACAATTTTTTTTTTTTTTTACATTTTTTTTGTAATAAATATATAATTTAATAATGCCTTTTTGTCAACTTATCCAAACTAATTTTCTTTCTCAGACGTAGTGTTTAGTAATACACATCAGTGTGTGTGTGTGTGTGTGTGTGTGTGTATGCGTGTGTCTGTGTGTGTTTCAGCATTGAACAAGATTATCCTATTCAAATGTGATGATACATTAGGTCAAAACTAATCTAAAGGTGATCCAACAGTGGTCAGATTGATTACATTACCTAAAATGTGTAAAGAAATCGTTAGGCTACAGTAATTTCATCTCACTGTAATTTGACTAATCCCAGCACTGGTCTTTTATGTAAAATATAAACTAACCATTCTATTTCAAATTGTGTTTTGACAATTTTCTTGAATAACCGATGACCAACAAGGCTTTTGAAAGGGAAATGTATTTTATATATGCATTTAAGATACGTTGTAAAGATAACACAGATCATTTAAAATGAATGATTTGACTCATTTGGCCATTATGTTTTAAGACGAAAGAAAGAAAGAAAGAAAGAAAGAAAGAAAGAAAGAAAGAAAGAAAGAAAGAAAGAAATATCCCCTTTTCAGGATATACTGTATATGAAGACAAAAAAAAAATTATTGTATCATATTCAAATTTAAATGTAGTCTAAAGGGCACTGACTTTTCCACTACCTGCAAAACTGGATGTCAAAATGCAATGGCTATATTTATTGTGTGCATTTTATTTTTTATTAAGTACATTGTTTAAGCCTTGTTTATACAAAAAACAGAGAGACTAAATCAACAAGACAAAAATGCAAGGAATTCAATTTATTTCCTAGAGGTAACATTGGTATTTTTGTGCGTACATTAATTTGAGATGAGATCATACAGGGTGTTAAAATGCCACAGATTAAAAAATACATCATGTATGAGATTATTGCAGGATATTTATTTAAACTGCATTCTCATATCACTGTTAAGACATGAATGACCTTCATTAACAATCATTTTATGACATTTCCATCATTGTTTCGGTTGAGTGAAGGATCTTCTGTGATATTGACACATTCCACCATTTCTCCTCAGCAGAGCCGGCCCGAGGCATAAGCGAACTAAGCGGCCCTGACCACCAGGGGGCCCCCTAATCGGGGTTATTTTTTATTTTTTTTTAGATTACTTAAACAAGTGACATAAATCAATGATGAAAATGACTGAATGAATCATTCAAGACAACAAAACTCTGACTTAATGATCAATATACCTGCCTACAAGTTACAACTGTTGCTGTGTCTGCCTGCGTTTAAGTCATGCGTCTAGATCATAGACTGAAGAAATATTGTTTAGGCCACTTTGTTTGATATAATCACAACAATTTAACGCAAGTATGGGAATTGAACTCAGATCTTCTTGATTAAAGCCCAACGCTTTATCAACTGACTGAGCCACTGCATCTATTGCGGGTTTAGTTTTATTTGTTGGAAAAATAAATATAGAAATATAATTTGACACAAGAGGGCAGTATAGCCCCATTTATGGTTCTGAGTTTAAACTAAACCGTGACATCTACACGTTTTCCAAAGTGGACCAACGTGATTATTTCACGTCTTGTCGTGATACGGGTTGGGCACTGAAGTTTACAGGAGTTTCTTCCCGTTGCTAAGCAATGGAACTATGTCGAGTATTTAAAAGGTTATGGTTAACACGGTTAACGTGGTTTAACGTCGATGTAATACGTTGTTTTAGCGTACCTTTTGCTTAAACGAGGAGCTGGGGGACGCCGAAAAAATAGATATTTTACTCATTAGGCTGCTTCATTAAAAACGGGACATTTAGACGTTTTCTTCGGGGTGGATCCAGGCAAATGAATCCTTTTCACCTTGAAAATAATATATATATATATATATATATATATTGCATTTTAAATAATAGAACATTTCTCAGTGATCGTAAATAAAACAAAATTCCATTTTTCTCGGTTTAATGAAAACCAATAGTCGTGATGGTAAGTTTTATTCTGCTTAGGGCCCCCAAAATGCTCGGGCTGGCTCTGCTCCTCAGACTCGACACTCACGCGGGTTGCCAGATTGAGAACACGTCCAGTACGGAGTTTCCCGCCAACTGGCAACCCGGGTGTCGAAATGCTATTGGGTGAATTGTCAGTGGGCGGAGCCACACAAATCAAAACAAATCAGACACTCGACATGGAACCGCATTTCAAACCACATCTGGATGTAGTGTCGCTTTTCAGAGAAACAAGTACGTGAACGCTTGTAGGCACTCCTTATTTATTTCTATGTGAGTTTGAACGTTTGAGAAACTCTGTCAAATTCTGACACTCTGTCATTTACTAAATATATTTAATATATATTTAATAATAATAATAAATTTTTCCAGCTACCTGATTGTCTTGGCTCCTTTTTCTTTTCTCTGTGTTAGTCACAATGGAAGTGTCTTACATGGTCGATTGTTCCCTGTTTTATGTCGGCTACATTCTGCATTAGTAGACTAATAATAAAAAAGTATGTGATCATGTTTCCTAAATATCTGTAAAGCAAACATATCATATTTTTATGCTTTAGTACGACCAAAAACATTTTTTTTTTTACATACAGCACCTTTGATTACAACTATCTGGTTTTCTTTGGAAAGAAAACATTTTGGATCAAAAAGATACATCCACTACACAAACCTAATTTAATTAAAATAATAAAATCATTCAAACAAAGAGCTGAGTTGATTGTTAAGTGTGTACCGATAGAGAGACAGATCAATTCTTATACATATATAAAAACTGAGAGTTAAGTGAAGTCTTCATATCCATGTTCAACGAGTTGTTGTGATCCTGCTGTAAATCTGGTTATAAACTGGTGTCCTCGGGGTAGTCGAGTGCTCAGGCACGGAGTCCCAGAGATCGGGCCGTGTTCAGCACATCGTCCCGGGTCAGATAGCATCCGCACAGCTGCCTCAGGCCCGTGAACGACTCTCTGCCGTGCAGAACACGCCAGTTATCAATGAACAGAACCTGGGACAAAACAACAGGAGCTGTTTACATGCACTGATTTACATCAATCATACATCCAATATGAGTCTGCACGTCGTTTACATGTGCCCGAAATTATGCAATTCCATTCACATATTCATTTACATACTGTATGCATTGCATCTATTTCAAACTAAATATCTCAATCAGCGTCCTAGTTCACAGAAGGCACTGATCAGGGACTCAGACATATTAAAGGGATAGTTCACCCAAAATTGAAAATTATCCCATGATTAGTCTCCCTCAAGTCATCCTAAGTGAATATGACATTCTCCTTTCAGACGAATATATTAAAAACAATGTCCTGGCTCTTCTGAGATTTATAATGGCAGTGAATGACCGGTTTCTGTCCATAAAAGTGTATAGTTCTATCCATCATAAAAGTGCATCTGTCCATCATAAAAGTGCATCTATCCATCATAAAAGTGCATCTATCCATCATAAAATGCATCTATCCATCTTAAAAGTTCATCCGTCCATCATAAAAGTGCATCTGTCCATCATAAAAGTGCATCTGTCCATCATAAAAGTGCATCTATCCATCATAAAAGTCCATCTGTCCATCATAAAAGTGCATCTGTCCATCATAAAAGTGCATCTATCCATCATAAAAGTGCATCCATCCATCATTTAAGTGCATCTATCCATCATAAAAGTCCATCTGTCCATCATAAAAGTGCATCCATCCATCATAAAAGTGCATCTGTCCATCATAAAAGTGCATCTGTCCATCATAAAAGTCCATCTGTCCATCATAAAAGTCCATCTGTACATCAGTGCATCTGTCCATCATAAAAGTGCATCTGTCCATCATAAAAGTCCATCTGTCCATCATAAAAGTCCATCTGTACATCATAAAAGTGCATCTGCCCATCATAAAAGTGCATCTGTCCATCATAAAAGTCCATCTGTCCATCATAAAAGTGCATCCATCCATCATAAAATGCATCTGTCCATCATAAAAGTTCATCGTCCATCATAAAAGTCCATCTGTCCATCATAAAAGTGCATCTGTCCATCATAAAAGTCCATCCGTCTATCATTGAAGTGCATCTATCCATCATAAAAGTGCATCTATCCATCATAAAAGTGCATCTGTCCATCATAAAAGCGCATCTGTCCATCATAAAAGTGCATCTGTCCATCATAAAAGTGCATTTATCATCATAAAAGTGAATCTATCCATCATAAAAGTGCATCTTTCCATAATTAAAGTCCTCTACACTGCTCTGCAGGCGTTAATGAAATTCTTTTGAAGTGAAGTGACGCGTTCGTGTAAGAAAAATATCCATATTTAAACTTTATCGACTAAAATAACTATCTTCCGGCAGACGGCTGTACGCGTCGATTTGTGGTGGAAGACTGACCCCTGACACGACGCACAACGTAATGACGAACGCGGAAGCGCAGACGATAGAGCAAAACAAAACACCAGTCACGAATTACAAGTCTAAAACCAGAATTATTGGGAGGAGCTCGAGTTTGTTGCCCAGCCCTGTGTGTTGAGTCCATTATTCTGCTTTTACTATGGTTTCCACACCTCAAAACATTGTTCAGATGATGTATTTCAAGACATTTGTCAGCTTTCTGTCCTTGTGTGTTGAATTTATTTCCAATAAAGATTGAAAGCGTGTGTGAATTACCCGAGTCTGTGCGTCTCTCAGCATCTCTACTTTGAGTGTGATTATCCATACATAATAAAACCTAATTTTGTGGTAAAAAAAATATGTAGATAATTTGTCGGTTTATCCTATTGTTGTGGGTTTTTGTTCTTTTGCTTTTTCAATTTTATTTCTATAGCACAACTAAACACACCAGTTGACCAGTGTGCTTTACAATACATCAAATTAGGAAAAACTGTAAAAACAAAACACACAATCATTGACCATATGCTAGTTTACTGAAATTTTAAATAACTGAAATCATTCAGTGTGTGATCTGGCCATTACAATAATTGCGCATCTTAGAACATCTGTTTGTGTTCTGAAATAATAGCCAGGCATGATTTCAGCAGCATGTGCGGAGGAGGCTGATACCTTTCCGGGCTTGAGTTTGACCCACAGCTCGTTCTCGGGTCTCCTCAGTTCTGCGGTGAGCTCCCTGTGAGCCGCGTACCAGCGCCGCACCACATCATGAGCCACTGTGTTCATCACAGAGCGGTCGTAGTTATTATACCTGCAGAACAACAACACAACATTAGCAGCAGCCTTCGCTCTGTTTCATCCGTTTCACATTAACACACACACACACACCAGGGTCGGGGCTTAGAGCAAAAATGCCACCAAAATTAATCAAAATTCTCCCAAAATTTCTGATATACAGGGCAAAAAAATGGCGCTTTTTTAATATTTCTAAAGCCTATAATGAAGGATATAGAGTGCTGATTTCCCGAACATCAGTACTATTGCAAACGTGAAGCCTATTGCCCGACCGATAAAGGATTTTAAAGGCCGATACTGATACAAATATTTTTGGGTTTTAAAATCCGATATATCGGCCGATATATTTTTTTTTTATTAAATATTGTTGGATTTCACACACGTGTAAAAGAAAAGCTAACTTTTCTGCACAAGATACGTTTGATACTTTTTCTCTTTGTCTAAATGTTCACTCCTCGCAAGTATAACTTACATTTTACAATGCAGGGACTGTAACTAGAGATATGCGAGTTATAAATACAGTAATAATTACTTTATTTAGGCAGAAAAAGTTCATCGTGGTTTCCAAGCTCATTTATGTTAACGTTAGCGCTCTTCCACTGATGATAGCGGCATTAGCTAGTCTATGATGAGCCATAATTTAGCAATGGATAACATCATACTGCAAATTGTAAAACATACATTTTCAATATAACAGGCCAAGGAGAGATGATTGAAGCGTGTTTTGTCCGTTTTTATTTTATTTTTTAAATATTCAATTATTGGCCATTATAACTGCCGATACCGATATTTTGGAAAATACCTAATATCGGCCGATAATATCGGTCTAGCTCTATTTTATACAACAATGCAAAGCTAAAATAATATATGTATATGGCATCTGAAAATTGTGTAAATGTAGGCCTAAGTTTTTGATGAACTTTTGATGTTATTTCTAGCGAGAAATTACCATTGTTACATATAAAGCCCCCCTGTAGTCAATTTTATCCATTAAAACTCATCTTTGATCACCAAAATGGCATATTTATTCAATTATTCTGCTTTTACTATGGTTTCTCCACCTCAAAACATTGTTCAGATGATGTATTTCAAGACATTTGTCAGCTTTCTGTCCTTGTGTGTGGAATTAATTTCCAATAAAGATTGAAAGCGTGTGTGAATTACCTGAGTCTGTGCGTCTCTCAGCATGTCTATTTTGAGTGTGATTATCCATACATAATAATAAAACCTAATTTTGTGGTAATAAAACAAGGACATAATTTGGTTTCGGGGACGGGTTTTGGTTCTTTTGCTATTTTCGGCTGTAAGGACCTTTAACATCAATGTCAACTTTATTTACTTTTACTTATTTAAGCATTTTTCCCTGTGAAAAATATTTCTTCAAGCCTTAAAATATCTTGAATGTAACTCAACAACACCCTTCACTCATTTGGTTTACGCGGTTCTATCAATAAATATGCAAATTAGCCCTGCCTCCACTCACTCAGCTCAGAGATCCACTCGTTGTAACTTCCTTAAATCCTAAAAAAATGTCCACTATATTATCGCCCAGAAATATATTAAGAATTGGATAAATAGTAAACCCTGCTTTAAGTGAATCCATACAGTACACTCATAAACAGCAATATATACTATTGTTTATATTGACACAAAAACTATAAACTAGTTTACCGGCCAGCTCTTTATAGAAAAGTGGATACAAAGACGGACGTTTCCTCAGAGGAGGCGAGAACAATGCAAATATTGACATTAAAAAGCATAAAAGTCACTAGTTTTTTATAAAGTAGCACTGCATACTCGCAAAATACAGCAAATCTCAACTGTACTATATTTTATATGTGACAATACGACTTAAATATAGTAAGATATTGTAACAATTAAATCATGATTTCATGTCAAGCTGTTTTGAAACAATGTGTATTTTACAGATGAATGCGACTTGACAATACAAAGTCTATTCACTCACTATTCATCAGAAGTTTCACACGTCAAGAAAGCAAAGGCAAAGGATCAATCAATCATACCGAATCATGTAGACCTCGTTGTTCCAGGGATACACGTTGAGCACGGGCCCGATGCCGATCATGTGGTTGCGGTGCTCGCTCAGGTTCTCGACGTACTCGTGTTTGATCGGCACGTGGGAAAGCAGCTCGAAGTTCCCGGGCGTCCGCTGGAGGACCGCGTCCGCGGCGTGGAAACCGTCCACCAGGAGAGTCCGGCCGCCCGTGCCTTCATGCCTCAGACAGTGAAACACCTGGATGCTTATGGACCAGAAAAAGGCATAAAAACTTTCGATTAGAGTCCGACATTTTCACGTTTTTTTTTTCCGTATTCGTCATGCGGTGGCTCTGAATTGTCAAAACACCATTCAAACGCTTCTGAAAAACACAGAAAATTGAAAATGTACGTTTTTACAGAGCCCGTCTAACGGAGAGCCTTGGCACTTCCTATTAGCCCCGTTGTGCTTCATCTTGGTTGCAGTTCCATTAGAATTCCACTGGGGGTGATCACGGGCGAGAGCAGAATGAATGGAAGTCTATGGAGCTAAACGGCTAAATGTGTCTCTTTCACCTGCTTGTCGTTAAATTAACATAGATTTTATTGTTGATTCCGCAAGTTCAATATAGATTATTGGCCAAAAGTCGAATGAACGAGTACTTATGTCCTTTTGATTTCTTACAGGTTAGGCTGTTGTTGGCCTGAACACGCTAGCATTCTGCTATTGTGTGACGTCATCACGGATTTTTAGAACAGATAAGTAAACTTAAAAATGCAGTGTATTATCTTTGCCCTCCCTTTTGAATGCAACTTTCAAATTACATCCTGAGAAAAGTGGATTTCTGGGGGTGAAACCCCATTGACTCCCATTCATTCTGCACTGGACCGCGAGCGCCCCCTCATGGACAGAGACGCGTTACTGCAGCCAGTCCAGAACCCGGAAGTAACCAGCCAGTGCCAATTCTCTTCAATTAGACATTCTCTGGTTTTTAATGTGATTGACACGTGAGGTCGTATTTATTTTTTAACGTGCAAAAATTTCGGACATAAATTCATCAACTAACCGTTCAGAAATGTCCTCTTTCATCTACATGTTGTCACTTCTTGAGCCTCTCCATCTATCCGATTCTGGTTTGAACATAAAAGGCTAAACGTTTTTGAAAATTTCAGTGCATGTGTGTGTGTGAGGTGAAAGGACATGAGCTCTTAAAGCTCCGCCCCCTGCGCCATTTCATTTGCATTTAAAGGGACACACACAAACGGTGCGTTTTTGCTCACCCTCAAAAAGTGACATCTTTAAAGGGTTAGTTCACCCAAAAATGAAAATGATGTCATTAATGACTCTCCCTCATGTCGTCCCAAGCCCGTCGTAAGACCGTTCATCTTCAGGACACAGTTTAAGATATTTTAGATTTAGTCCGAGAGCTTTCTGTCCCTTTATTGGAAATGTGTGTACGGTATACTGTCCTTGTCCAGAAAGGAAATAAAGACATCATCAAAGTAGTCATGTGACATCAGTGGGTTAAAGCATCGAAAATACATTTTGGTCCAAAAATAAAAACTACAACTTTATTCAGCATTGTATTGTCTCCCGGTACCGTACACACGTTCAATGGAGGGACAGAAAGCTCTCGGACTAAATCTAAAATACTTTAAACTGTGTTCTGAAGATGAACGAGGTCTGACGGGCTTGGGACGACAGTCATTAATGACATCTTTTTCATTTTGGGGTGAACTAACCCTTTAAAAATAAATATCGGTGGGGTATTTTGAGCTAAATCTTCACATACACCCTCTGGGGACATCAGAGATTTATTTTACATCTTGTGAAAAGGGCATTACACCGCCCCTTTAACTATAATCTAAAGTTACTTCAGTGGTCACTGTTTACTCTAAGCTCTTATAATAGAGCAGAGAGAATGTGGATCTGAGTCCCTGCTGATCCACAACACATGCTGTACGCAAACCGGATCTGACAGACAGGAGTCAAGCCGTTCATGGCTAATGAAGGCCAACCCTGACTCTCCTGTTTACCCGCAGGGTTCTTGAAAGTATGAGGTATCGGTGTGGCGGTCCAGTGCCAGCTTTGTGTAGGCTGTGTCTCCACGAGAAAAGTCTGAAGTGAAGTTCCACATCCGCCCATACATGGTCTCTCTGGAAACAAAGAAGTGCCTCATTTAAGTCATTTTGATTAGAATAAACTATTATTGTGCTATGTAAATCTCAGGGGAAACAGCGACACGGTTCTAGCATCCCACCCCTCATTCCTGTTACTCAGCAACAATTCTCTATTATCTCAATTTGACACTAGAAACAGTAAGGCATTGGTGGTCCTAAAACGACTAAAAACGCTGTATTCTGCTGCCAGGCCAGTAGATGGCGATGAAACACGTAGAGTGTTATCAACAAGTTTTTGTTGATAACACAAAGAACGTTTTCAAAAATATTGCGATTTCAGGCACCCTAATGGCGGTGACGTGTAAACGAACGGCGAAACGCATTAAAAGTTTAACGTTTTTAGTTTAAAAACGGTGTCATGTAAACAGCCTCAATGTTTGGTGTAGGGAAAAACCCTGGACCTGGCAACCCTGGCATGAACTAGATTCATACGGTCAAAATTAGCTTTTATGTAGATATTTTTAACTGTTAATGCGTTATTGTAGCGCTAACTTGCCCTAAATTCAACACAAGAGAGACTTTCTTGACAGTATGAGTTGCAGACACGTTTTTTCTGCCCTCTTTTGATTGACAGAATATAATCGGCCCGTTTTCACAAAGATAGACTTTGACTATGGCTTAGATATAGTCATTTGGCTTATATATAGATATATATCTATAGGCTTAGATATAGTTAGATATAGGCCTAAGGGTTTAAGTCTGTTTGGTTCAGAAAACCTATTAACGATGAAAACAAATGTTTATTAATGATGTAATAAATGTGTATGTCTATCACTTAATTTGGATAAATATCAGGTAGGCTACCTTATAAAGCTACATGTTATTTTTTCTCAAAGAAAAATCTCTCACTAATGCTGTAAATATATTTACCAACTCCCTGTAGGCTACAGGGAGTTGGTATTATTATTATTCAAGGTTCAAATGAACAAATCAAATAATGCGTTTTTTTTATAATATCATTAAAATATTTTAATGATATAAGTAAAAATATAATATGTAAAATAGTGCATTTAGCAAAAATTATCCTCTCTATGTCCCTAGTTAATTTTTCTAGGTTTTTCTGAGGTAAATGTTGCGTTACGTGATAGCTGACTACTGTTCTCCAGTTGCTTTATTGACCTATGTCCACGGTTTTTGAGCGATTACATGAGACATGACACATTTCAGCAAGTTGTAGGCTACTGAATCTTCCATAATAGCTCATTCGAATTGATTTACTGTTAGCTTTAGATCAGATCACAGCACGTGCTGCTTGAACCGAGGTGCTGATCTGGCACGTGATATTAAAGTGCGGCAAAACTGTATTTATTGTTTGAATTTAATTGACAATCTGAAAGCTGAGACTTTGTTGAGTGTCCTCGTTAACTCAGGATTTTTCATTGCGTGAAAAAAATGGAGAACAGTGTCAAAACGACGCGCGAGATTTGGCAGCGTCAACCTTTACAAGTCATAATCCGCACCTGGATTTATACCATGGTCTTGGTTAATACTCGATTCTGATTGGCAGGGTGTCCGTTAAAAAGTGATAGAGGACACCTAGTAAAGTAGTTCTGGTGAAACTGCCTGTTTACCATTCGAAATGAATAAATAAATGCGCTGCCCACAACAGCTGTGAGTAACCATAGCAACAGGCAGTCAAAGTATCCGTTAACAATTTGCTCTATCAAAACAAACATCTAACGTTAGTTAGATATTCCACAGCCTACTAATACAACAATGAACGACTTCGTTATTTCTTTTAACATTTATGGAGAATATGACAACTTTGACGACTGGGATGCTGCTGAAGAAAGAAAAAATGTAAATAAAACGGAGAAACGTCGCAAAGAAAATTACACCGCTGCTGCTCTGAATGAGACCCTGCGGGAGTTTTACGCAGCAGTCCAGACAACCAAGTCAGGAGGAGTACAGCGTTTCAAGCCTAAGAAGCCTGTTTGATAAATTGTTTTATGTGTAATTAAAAAAATAAAATAACTATGCCTACCTTTGTGTTTCATGAAAAAAAAATGCATTTTTGAACCTGAAGGGTTCTAAGCTGAGCGGACAATAAATATCTCCGGTTGCTAAATAAACCAGGCGAGTTATTATTTGTAAAAACTTGATTTAGCCTAATTAAAATATAAACTAGCAGCCAATGTTTTAAAAATGTTTCATTTGGCAAGTGACCACGGTATAAGCGGGTTAATGCCCTTCGAGGTGTCCATTGTCAGGTTTTCACGCCTCGCCGTCGTCCATTAAAACCTGACAATGGACACCTCGTCGGGCATTAACCCTTACATAGCAGACAGTCAGACTTCAGACAGACGTCTAAATCAGACCGTTGCACAAAGCACTGAAGACTATCTTAGGTAGGACTAAACTGCAGTGCATTCTGGGTAAAATAAGACAATATTCAAAACAAAAAACACGGCGGATGGAGTAAGCGCATTCACCCGCTCAGTGCAGGTGTGTGTGTGTGGGAGGAGTGTATTTTAGAAACAATTTTGAAAAGTGTCTTATTTTACCCAGAATGCACTGCAGTGTAGATAGTCAGAGTCTTCAGTGCTTTGTGCAACGGTCTGATTTAGACGTCTATCTGACTATATCTCAGCCGTAGTCAAAGTCTCTCTTTGTGAAACCGGCCCCTGTTGTGTTCTGCAAAAGACCAGAACATTAGACGATGACATGATTACGGTAACTAATGATGTGATTGCATATGATCCATCAAAGCGATTCATGTTGGAGCAGGAGCGCACGAGGCCTGACCTGATGAGGCTCACTCTTCGGGTCGCCGCTTCTGTGGCTTCAAGGGTCGGTGGGACGCCTTCGACGAAGGCTATTCCATAAAGCAAGAAGCAGTTGAGGAAGATCTTCAGCTCCTCGTCGCAGCTCATGAACTTCTCCCAGCATGCACTGGGAGGCCGAGCGCTGGTGTAGATATCAGCGTCCCACAGCAAGCGCGGTTGCATGGAACTTCTCTTCTGGCCCTCGTAGCTGTTCTGCGCTAGCCATGCTAGGCTGTAGCGCGTCACGTGACCATCTGGCCCTGGAGGGGGTCACGAAACACAGGGCCCTTTATTTATACAGCGCTTTTTACAATACAGAGTGTTTCAAAGCAGCTTTACAGAGATAACAGGAGAATAATGCAGCAAAGTTTGTTTCTAGAAAATAGCGTCACAGTCACAGCTTAGTTAAGTTCAGTTTGAGTATGCTGATTACTACAGAAATACATTTCGGCTTGGCCATTTTTTCATTTAAAAAGCAAAAGGCTGGGTTACAGACGGGCACTTACAATAGAACTACATCGGACCAATTTCTAAATGTTAAAACACTGAGTGTCAGTAGTAGGGAAGAGCGAGGCACAAAATGCTTTCCGACTTTGTCAATTTGTGTAAATCTACATACAGGTGAAACTGGAAAAATTTGAATACGGTGCAAAAGTTCATTTATTTTAGTAATTCAACTTAAAACTAATATATTATATACACTCATTACATGCAAAGTGAGATATTTCAAGCCATTATTTGTTATAATTATGGATTACAGACATGAAAACCTTTTCACAATATTCTAATTTGAATATAGGGTTTTCATAAGCTGTAAAATTTAATTATGAAAATTATAACAAATTGAAACATCTCACAGTTTGCATGTAATGAGTCTATATAATATATTAGTTTCACGATATTCACCTGTTAAGAATATTTATTTTTTCCCACATTAATTTCACACGACAACATGCCCCACAGGTGACCAAATTACTGATTAAAATGTTATCTGATCTAATAAAAATATATATACGAGACAAACTAAAACATTTTCCCAATAAAATACAATTATTAGCTTTTTCATGTGAAATAATGGAATTTTTTAATAATTAAAAATAAAAACACATTTTTGAGGTTGACAACAAACACAGCTATGCAGCATAGTTCAAAAGATAATAATAATTAATCATTTCTGAAGACTGACTCTCAGTCTTTATTCGCCTTTTTATATGCTTTATATTATACCATAGTTCTAATAGGGACTCATTGTAACGCCGTGTGACAACATGCCCCGCCTGCACAACTGCGGTTCAAACCCAGCGAGTGTTTCTGCTGTTAAAGTATCTCAGCTGTTAACTAACACAAATAAGATTAAAATAATAAAGTCTCATTTTAAATAAACACAAAAAACTGAGATAAAAAAATTGCTTTGCTTTAAATGTTCATGAATTTTGCTGCAATTGTTTCTCTATATAGTGTTGATATCTGCAAGTAGTAAATGCACTAAGTTTCATTATGCGTGTGTGTAAAGTTTTAAACCATGTGATCAACCCTACAGCCAACAATATGACTAGCACACTAACCTTTCCTAAGTAAGGTTGTATCCACCTTCATCGCCATGACAACACATGTAATTATATTATAAGTGTTCACAGAAGAATTCAAGTTGAGGGCTTTTATGAAATGACCACCTTATTTCTGCTTTCTCCACAAAAAAAGCTGAAAAAAATTTCCCAGTGGTGAAATCCAGCTTTTAATGTTGTTTATGCGTCTATGAGGTGTTTTTAATACGCTTTAACACACACACACCATGTGTAAGTTCTTAAGTGGACAGCATTGCTGAGTATTTTGAACCAAAGACAGTCTCAAAAACACGGTGTGAAATCGCTGGTGTTTCTGACATCACAAACCACTCAGATCAACGTGTGATCGTCAACCAGTGGATCTCTGAGTAAGGGAGTGGGGGCGGGGCTCATTTGCATATTCATAGAACCATGCATACTAAATGAGGCGAGGGTGTCGAGTTACACTCGAAAAGTTCTAAATATGTAATTTCGATGATCAAAGATGAGTTTTAAGGAATAAAATGATCAACTACAGCAGGACTTTTTATAAATATTATTAAACACCAGTTGATTGACAATCTTAGGCCAACGTATCTTAGACACTAAAGTCATGAGAAAGTGTTACTATGTAACTGATTTAAAGTGAATCTCACAGATGATCCGCTGCGTTTCGTAAGAGTCAAAGTCCTGACTCTCGCAGAGCCTTATCTTTACTTAGGAAAGAGATATCCATCTTTGTTTGGGAAGAGTGTTAAACTTATCTAAGCACAATCTCTGAGGAGAGGATTGAAACATGAAGACACAGGTCAAGTTCCTATCCCAATATTAAGCAATCCTGCGTAAAACAGCAAGCCCGTAGGCAGTTCGAACCACCCGAACCCCCCCCCCCCCCCTCACTGCCAAAGGTCCAGAATTTAAAGGATTAGTTCACTTTTGAAAAAACTTTTGCTGATAATTTACTCGCCCCCGTGTCATCCAAGATGTCCATGTCTTTCTTTCCTCAGTCGAAAAGAAATTTAGGTTTTTGATGAAAACATTACAGGATTTTTCTCCATATAATGGACTTCAATGGGAACCGGATGGTTCAAGGTCCAAAAGACAGTTAATAACAGTTTCAGATGCAGCTTCAAATGTCTTTAAACGATATCAGACGATGAATAAGGGTCTTATCATGCGAAACGATCGGTTATTTCAAAACTTATTCCAAAAATGTAACTTTTCTAAGGACAAATGCTAGCCTTGCTCTATTCTGTGAGGCGCGTTTGTAACGTCACGTAATACGTAATTACGTTCAAAAGGTCACGGGTGACGTAGCCGAAAGTACAGAGTCAGTGTTTACAAGTTGAACGCATAGGTTGAACGTGCAAACTAACTCAAACACCGTTTACAAAAAAAAAAAGGAATTAAAAGGAAAAACAACGATGTCGGACGATTTTGATTCTGTACTGCCGGCTACGTCGCCCGTGACCTTTTGAACGTAATTACGTATTACGTGACGTTACAAACGCACCTCACAGAATAGAGCAAGGCTTGCATTTGTCCTTAGAAAAGTTACATTTTTGGAATAAGTTTTGAAATAACCGATCGTTTCGCATGATAAGACCCTTATTTTGCAAAAGACAGTTTCAGTGCAAACTGTTCAAAGGGCTTTAAACGACACCGGACGATGAATAAGGGTCTTATCAAGGACCCTTCGCGTCATGACTCGAAAAAGATTCGATTTTGATGAACGAGTTGAGAAGGAGAGTCACAAAACAGAGCAAGGCGAGCATTTGAGCTTATAAAACTTAAACTTTGTTATTTATTTATTAAATGAGTGATTTACCTTTTGAACGTAATTGCGTATTACGTGACGTTACAAACGCACCTCACAGAATAGAGCAAGGCTTGCATTTGTCCTTATAAAAGTTACATTTTTGGAATAAGTTTTGAAATAACCGATCGTTTCGCATGATAAGACCCTTATTCATCGTCTGGTGTCGTTTAAAGACATTTGAAGCTGCATCTGAAACTGTTATTAACCGTCTTTTGATACTTGAACCATCCGGTTCCCATTGAAGTCCATTATATGGAGAAAATCCTGGAATGTTTTCATCAAAAACCTTCATTTCTTTTCGACTGAGGAAAGAAAGACATGGACATCTTGGATGACATGCGGGTGAGTAAATTATCAGCAAAAGTTTTTTCAAAAGTGAACTACTCCTTTAACCATGTTCCTTTCTACCGTGTGTCTCACAACACAGGAGACCACTATCATTCTTCACGTGCACAGTAACTGAAATTTAAAACTGTTAAAAGAAAAGGCTCAAACTATTGTATAGATAGTTGGCAAAAAATGCATCTCAAAATGCATCAGATTGATGCTTTAAAATTTTCTCTGTGATTGGTGGTTTTCATTGTATCACAATGACACAAAACAGATATTAACACTTCAATAGGACAGTGAATTAATCTTATATCAGATCATGAAATACAGTTTATTACTGTAAATTTTAAGCCAATAAAGCTGTTACCGTATTTTTGCCTGTAAAATTCTGGCAATCACAGCTGCCGTTTTTTTACTGTAAAACTGCCGGTTTATGTTTTACAGTGAGACTGTGTTGAGTGAGATTGAGCGGCGTTCGGCACTCACAGGTCAGGAACAGGTGGTGTTCGTCGGCTCGGCTCTTTGAGGGCCGGATGTCCAGGTCGATGCCGGCCGTGTCCAGGTTGCGCTGGTTGGTCTTTGAGTTGTAGCATGAAGCTGAACGGCAGTGATCTCTCAGCCAAACATAGTCAAAGTGCATTACAAGACCACCATAGTTGAGCTCTGCAGAAGTAAATGAATAATTACACTTGTTTATGATAGCAAACATAACATATATGTCAGTGTGAATAATGTGGATGAGGTATTGATAGGCAGATTCATTTAAACATTCCAGGATTTTCTCCATATAATGGACTTCAATGGGGTCCAAACGGTTCAAGGTCCAAAAGACAGTTTCAGTGCAAACTGTTCAAAGGGCTTTAAACGACACCGGACGATGAATAAGGGTCTTATCAAGGACCCTTCGCGTCATGACTCGAAAAAGATTCGATTTTGATGAACGAGTTGAGAAGGAGAGTCACAAAACAGAGCAAGGCGAGCATTTGAGCTTATAAAACTTAAACTTTGTTATTTATTTATTAAATGAGCAATCGTTTCGCTAGATAAGACCCTTATTCATCGTCTGGAATCATTTAAAGCCCTTTGAAGCTGCACTGAAACTGTCTTTTGGACCTTGAACCGTTTGGTTCCCATTGAAGTCCATTATAAGGAGAAAATCCTGGAATGTTTTCATCAAAAACCTCGACTGAAGAAAGAAAGACATGGATATCTTGGATGACATGGGGGTGAGTAAATTCACAAGAGAAAGTTTCTTTAAAAACATTATTTAATTAAAATACAAATGCTCATTGCTTTTAATAAAGTATTAGTGAATGCTGAAATTAACATGAGCTGCGGTGATAACAAGGTTTATTAGTTAACTGCCTTTGTTAACATGAACTAAGAATGAACAAAACCTCTTCAGCATTTATTAATCTTAGTTAATATCTATTTCAACATTTACTAATATGTTATTAAAAATAAAGGTTGTATTTGCTAACATTGGTTAATGCAGCTAACATGAACAAACATCGAACAGCTGGATTTGATTAACTGACATTAACAGAGATTAATAAATACTGTAACAAATGTTTTTCTCATGGTTGGTTCAGGTTAGTTAACACATTAACTAATTTTAGCTATTGAACCTTATTGTAAAGTGTTACCGCTAAGTATTTTCATTGTGAGTTCAATGCAGTTATATCTAATGTTAGGAAATGAAATCTAATGGTAAAGTGTTGCTCATTTCAAATTGAGGTCAATAACTGTATAAAAATGTAGTTATTTGAAATGCAAGATTCAATCTCTCTCTCTCTCTCTCTCTCTCTCTCTCTCTCTATGTCTATGTCTCTCTCTCACCCAGGCAGTCAGACAGCAGCTGGTAGTTGAGTGCAGATGAATGGGCATCAGTGTGCTGTAATCTTCCTCCCAGACTCTCCAAACCTTGTTTCCAGAGCACAGATCCACTCAGTCTCTTCAACACTCTTGTTAAAGACATGTTAACCTGCAAAACATACCCCCACATAATCTATTATTCCGCAACACATCAAGTCAACACGCATGATGTTCGGATATCAATAGTTACAGTAATATAGTGTCTCAGAGTCGACTCACATGTGCACTTCAAGCTCCTGCGAGGCTTGTGATTTTGAAGCTTCGATGTGAACTTTCATTCACTGCTGGTTAAAGAGTGGTCATATAACTGTTAACATTAACCACTGAACTTGATCTTCACTCCCGCCATTGTGTGTGTCCGTGTTTTCATGAGGTCTGTCCAGTCCACGCACGCGCTCGAGTCTACTATGCCGAAGGCTTTTCTTCTCTATATTCATGAGCAGAGCTGCACCATTGGATGGATTTTTTAACCATTGAAGGAGGTTACTCACCAACTTTTAAAAAAGTAAAAATGAATAAATAAATAAATACGTGAAGAAATGTTAAAAAAAAAAAAAAAAAAATCATTTAGGCCTATTTATTTATCCATGTATTTATTTTCCACTTGTATTTATGTATATACATTTACATCTACATTTATTTATTTATAAATGTATTTATTTATTTATTTATTATTGGTCCTCCATAAACTTTACCATCACATAATAAATATTAGCAAGTTAAGCCAACGTGGCTGGCGTGCACTGGCACATTGTCTACATGGTATTATATTTCTACTCAATTATGTCGTAACAACTGCATTATTATTATTATTATTATTATTATTATTATTATTTTACTGCACAACAAACAGTCAATGTACAGACAGAATTACAATATACAAATCAGGGGCGGGGGCCATAGACAGTAAGGGTGGGGGGCAAATAACGATAGGCCTATGTTATGTCGTTTAAACGATTTTGTTCGTGATGTGTATGCTAACTCGGCCTATGCCTTTATTGCGCTATAATTTTATTGATCTATAATAGAGAATGTAGGCCTACAGTAGCCTTGATGAGATCAGTGTTTACCGCACTTTCGCGTTTGAAAAGCTGAAGCAAATACAAGCGTAAAACACCCTCTGCTTCCTGTTGGCTATTAATAAATGATTTATTCATCGCGGATAGCCTACGTTACTTCAACTACTATCCGACGCATATTTCATGTCCTATATATAGGAGGTACTATAGCCTATAGCAGTGGTTCTCAAACTTTTTCAGGAGGAGGCCCCCTTGTGTAGGGTGAATCCTTTTGTGGCCCCCCAAAAGAAAACTCATAACGAAAACATCCTCAAACGTACAATTTTACTTACAAATTTTAGATTGTACCAAAAACAAATGAATTTGTACAATGCTGGAACAACAGTTCTGTTTTTAGCTTTGTCTTTGAATATACAAAATTAGTTAAATTGTACATTTCATTAAATATAACATTTTTTTTTATAAAAAATGGTTTTGACAGTTAACAGTAATATTGTCTGAAAAGTGCAACAAAAGTATTGAATACTGAACATTTGTGATGTTCATAGTAAAAGATGAACACTGAAAAATTAATTTGCTGATGCATTAAAAAAAAAGTGCATTAAACTTCTTACATTTTAAGGTAGTAAATGACAGTGGCTCAAGTTTGGTTTGCAAATTTGAACAGCAATCTGTTTTTTCAGCAAGAAACAAAAAAAAAATTCTACTCTACTTAAAGAAATACTTTTTCAATATACGTAGAAGACATACAATTTTATACAAGTTTTACAATGTAAAAGAAATCATGCAATGCAGATTTCACATAGGACAATCCAAACTTACATACAGGTAAAATAATTTTTTTAAATAATTTCATATTCTAGAATTTCTTTGCGGCCCCCCTAGCGCCATCTAGTGGCCCCCCAGGGGGCCACGGCCCCCAGTTTGAGAACCGCTCAAGAGGTCCTCGCTGCAGTCTGTAGCACGATGACGTAGCTGGACGGTCCAATACGTGTTGGACCCTGTAACGCGCGCATGCGCACTAGTCAAGTCAAGTCATCTTGATTTATAAATCGCTTTTAACAATTTAGATTGTTTCAAAGCAGCTTTAATTTAATGTAACAGATTGTTTTTGCTTTATAGCGGTTCATGAATAATGTTATTTTACAGCTAGTTAGTTTTGATTCTGTCGAAATGATAATTTGTTATTAAATTAGGGGATGACACCGTTCTCTCTAAACAGACTTTAAACGCGATCCTGTGATAAACGCTGATGGCACATGCACATTAAGAATTCATAGGCCTAGTTAGAGAGTTGGTGAACAATCGTTGATCTTCCAAGAATACATTTAAATATGGTCACGAGCGAAGCTCTTATTTTCAGAGCTTTCAGAATAAAACTTTTTTAAAAAAAATAATTGCGACTTTTTCCTTACAATTGCGAGTATATGCTACTTTTCGCAGACTTTATTTCTCAGAATTGTGAGATATAAAGTCAGAATTGCGTGAAATAAAGCCTCAATCGCATGTTATAAAGACATAATTGCTTGAAATAAAGCCTCAATCGCATGTCATAAAGACATAATTGCTTGAAATAAAGCCTCAATCGCATGTTATAAAGACAGAATTAGGTGATAAAGCCTCAATCGCATGTTATAAAGACATAATTGCGTGAAATAAACTAAAGCCTCAATCGCATTTTATAAAGACCGAATTAGGTGAAATAAAGCCTCAATCGCATGTTATAAAGACAGAATTTGGTGAAATAAAGCCTCAATCGCATGTTATAGCTAAAAGACATCATTGCTTGAAATAAGCCTCAATCGCATGTTATAAAGACATAATTGCGTGAAATAAGCCTCAATCGCATGTTATAAAGACAGAATTAGGTGAAATAAAGCCTCAAGCATGTTATAATTAGGTGAAAGAAAGCCTCAACCGCATAAGGACAGAATTAGGTGAAATAAAGCCTCAATCGCTTGTTATAAAGACAGAATTGCGTGAAATAAAGTCGCAATGTGCTATAAAGTCAGAATTCTGACCTTTTTTTCTCTCGCAATTCTGAATGTAGCCTAGGCTATAACATAAATGCGAGTTCATTATTACAAGATTTATTTTCCCCATGCTGTTATTATTTTAGCATTTTCCTTACTTATTCATCAATAATTACTTATAATTATTTAACAGTATTAGTATTATTATTATACTACAGTTTGAACATCATCTCAGTACAATATTGAGCTTACATATCACTTAAAACCAATGCATTCGAATTATAATCAGAGATCGGCACTGCGCATGCGTAAATGACGTCACCAAAACACAAATCCATCCACTACGTATTGGACCATCCAGCTACGTCATCGTGCTACAGGCTGCAGCGAGGGGTGTCTCGAACCGCTGGCCTATAGGAGTCCTATCATGTCCTATAAAAGGTGATCGGACTGTAAAGTATATACTTCACAGTCCGACCACATTTTTATCAAAGAAATGCAATGGAATAGGCTCACCACATATTGAGTTAAGGTTATTGGCCTGATGTTCCCTGATGAGCCTGATAAAAATAATTTAGAGTAGCTAAATAATTTAGAGTAGCTAGTTAAACGGTTTTCAGACAATGAATTCTGAGTTTAAGCTTTCAAATGATCATTTTTAGACGATAACATTATAGTATAATTTGTTGAAAAATACTAGATAGCATAAAAACAGAAGTTTCAATGATTAAAACTGGGTGCATCGACTTTTTGTGACAAAGGCCAGACCTGTTATGCAGATTTTTTGAGGTAGGCTACACTCTTGTCCTAACACAAAACAGGGGTAGAATATCTATTTTGAACTCTTAGACTTTTCCAACGATATATAATTTGTCATAATTAGATTTTTAATGCTAATCTTATCGATGGTTTGTGAGATTGTGTAAACGCTGCTCCATCTGAACATTTTGATCTCATTGTGAAGTGAGTTTGGAGTAAAAGAAGTGTTTAACGCCAGCAGGGGTCAGAAAGTAAAAGTCTTGCCATATGTTTATCCATGAACTCAGCCGGCTGATTACACTCATTACTTCTCTCTCCTGGCTGAAAAACTGCTAATTAGCAAATGCAGGTGATTGGAACAAAATACTGAGGAGGAATTTTACTTTCCGAACCTGGACTTTACTCTGAAAACATGCTTTTGCCGGTTCATAAATGCTTTTCATGAAAGATGTTGCCTTTTCACTGATTCTCAAATCACCATCGCAAAGAGATATATTTATATAAACCATCCTCATTTCTTCTGACACCATCAGTCGCTCTTTTGGCGACTCAATCACCTCTTGCTTCAAAATCATCCAAAGTCCTAAAATTATACTTTTTGTTTTGTCCAGAAAAGCTTATATAATTTTGATTAAAAAAAATTTAAAGCATTTTTAAATTTATTTATTTTATTTACCTACCTTTAGGACTAGATTTGATTAATACACAATAGTAATTTCAGCACATTCCTCACATTCTTTCAACATAAACTAAAAATAGCCTAACTCACACTTCATGCATAGTAACCATTTAATTCAGCTCAAAATATCTTAACATTGGGTGTCTTCACCGACCTCTAGTGGAAAATATAAAATAATATTACATGAAATTTCACGATTCTTGCCACTAGATGGCCTTATAGCTCAATGGAGCAAATGAGCTGTTTCTGTTGGATCCTAAAGCCAGTGTTTTCTTCAGTATGCATTCAAGATCTCAATGACCAAGATAGTGTTGTGTAGCCTAGAAATCTAGACGCACCCTAACGGCAGCAAAAATGATTTTTTTTTTTAATGACACACTGTCTCTTTCTCTCTCACACATGTAGGCTAGTTATAAACTCTTTTGACTTTTAATGATTAGTGTTTTATTTTTAAAGTTTGTGGGTCGTGTAAAAAACAAAAAAATCCCTTATTTTGGGGATGGATTCTGGGATCTCTCTTATTTTCAATGTTCAATGTTGACAGCTGGACTGGGTGCGGTAAAAGTTTAATATATCAACTTGCTGCGCTTAGTACGTCACCTTCTTCATTGCTCTGATTGGCTGTAGCGCTATCCAATTGCGTGCAGAGAGAATTTGAAAGACAACCGTTTATCCCGCCCCTCGGATTGAGCCCTGTCAATGAAGAGTTTCCACTTTCCAGACCTAACATCTTGATGTAGGTCTGGCATGCCAGGCTAAGTGTTGTGGTGAATTTTCCCAAATCTGGTGTTAAATGGCTCACCTCGATGTGGTCCTGACCCTGTTTGGGTTTAAGAGCTTCTTAGTGCCTTCGCTCTGAATAAATCTATAATTGTCTAGCCTACTGTACATTTTGAGCTGGACCGCAAGATTCTTGGCAATGAGATCGTAAATCTGAAGTTGTTGTGATGAGGAAGTCCTTCGGCTCATTGCTGCCATGATTGAGGCACAGCATTTTGCTTTCTGAATGAGTTAAAAGAAGCAACATTTGTTTTGCCAAGAGTAGTATTGTAGAATGTTAAGAATGTGTAACTAGTGTAATGACGCATTATTAAATCCATTGTAATTGTTCAGTTTTGTGTTAACCATCTTATTTTCCAACCCTAGAAATGTTGTCTTTTAGTAGCCTTAACAATAATTCTCAAACTGAATCCTTACTAAAAAAAAGGGGTAGCCTATTTTATGTAGCCGCTGTATATTCAAGTAAAAAAAAAAAAATCAAATGGTTATGACACAGTGATTATCTAAGAATATCAAAAATGGCATTTGAACAAAAACGCCTGTTTAATAAAATGAACTTCTTCACCTCAAAGCTGCTTGTTGACTACATAAGTTTTCTTTTCTGTAGGCTATACCTGTCAGTGTACTTAGAGCTAATTTTCTTAAATATATTTCCGATGAGTACAAAAAAAAAACTTTGTGAAGGAGTGTCCTATTTCAAAAAATATCCGATCATAATTTTAATAGACCACCTTTAATACAGCCTGTTTGTCCACTGCAGGAACGATGTTGATTTTGGACCAAAAATCATTATCCTCATTGTTGATGTCGCGAGACCTGACTCATAGGACAATAATCTGAGGACCGGAATCACAGACATGTTAAAACATATTTCCAATGGTTCATAAGCCATTCTTAAAAAATACTTAAGTTCTCAAATGGTTTCTAAAGAACCTCTTATTGTCTTTCCTAAGAAGTAAAAGTGGTTGGTGTCGTGTGACTGTTTAGCGTTTAGAAAACTCGCTGATCAACTCGATGAAAAGCTCTATTATTTTCAGATGCCTGCATACAAAGATGTTTAAATAGGCCTAGCACACAAACTATTTTGGTCACGACTCGTTTGATGGGTGTTCTTCTGTTTTACTATGCCGTGGACGTAGTTCCTGAGGCGTGAGCTCAGATGTGAAACAAAGACGCCTCGCCCACGGTGTTTAGATTGAAAACGCATCTTTTTCTCTCTGTTTTGGCCTTGCGTTTACACTAAGATGGCGGTTTTAACAACGAATATCTTATGTTTGTGGTCCTATGCCTTACAAAGTTGATACTTTTAGACCACTTTTCTTAGTGATTGCTATCAAATCAGCCTTGCAAAAAAAAAAAAACTTACACTGCCTTTAAAACTGATTGACAACAGAACCGAAAGACTACAATGCTGAATAAAGTTGTAGTTTTTGCTATTTTTGGACCAAAATGTATTTTCGATGTTTCAACACATTGTAACTTATCCATTGATGTCACTTGGTCTACTTTGATGATGGACAAGGACAGTATACCGTACACACATGTTCAATGGAGGGACAGAAAGCTCTCGGACTAAATTTTGATTTAGTCCGAGATTTTGTCCAACCGAAACCCTTCTGCTGGTGATAATTAAGTGAGTTAATGTGGTCAACATGGATGTAATTACTGAAATTAATTAGTCCTACATCTGTAATTACATGTACTATATGCATTTTTTAAATATAAGCACAATGTAAAAACATATATGTACACAATTAGTGCATTGCATCAAATTATTTATTTTAGTACACACTGAAGACACTACTATAAAATGGGTCGGACTAAAATAGGAACACACATTAACAATTGTACTTTTCACATCTTTATTGAATCATTGATCATTCACAGTGAAGAAAGTAAGTGAACCCTTGAATTTAGTAACTTGTATACCCCTTCAACAGCAAAACATCCACTGTAAAAAATAATTATGGGTCTTGTAATAAAAAAATGAAGGTGATAATTAAAAAAAATTGCGTATTTTATTTATAAAATTGTGGTTCAATATTGCGAATATTTCACAAATTAAACCAAGTTTAATTATACAGCCGTTTAATTGTGCAGTATAAACAGGTCATTTCCATTCACTCCTTTTGACTCAACTTTAAATAAAAAACTAAATTTCACTAAAAATAATAAATTCATTGTGTCAAGGACTAAATAATGTAGGAGATTTTACATGATATGATTCCATTAAAGAAATCAAGCCTTAAGAACTACAAAAATACCATGTGTGATATTGTAACCTATTTTTTTTTTTTTTACGTAAATAACGTCTCTGATTACTGGTGTAACGTATGTTCTCTGAATAGGGAACGAGACGCTGCTTAGCTTAAGACGCAGTGGGAACGCCCTCCCGGTGTGCCGATTGTCTGAAGCCCTTATGAAATCACGCCAATTATTTTATATTTGCGCATTATATCTGGGCATGAATTGCCTGAGGGCAGCTGACTGGGATTTTGCGGCCCGAAATTTTTCAACCACAGTGTTGACTGTCTCCCCAAACAGACCAGATTGAGACACTGGGGCGTCTAAATGGAAAACCTTCTCTTTATCATGGATTTCCGTGAGATTGAGCTATAGGTGGCGCTCTGGAGCAATCGTCCCCACCATAGAACGCCCTATAGCACGTGCAGTATTCTTGGTGGCCCTTAAGGCCAGATCTGTGGCCTTGCGAAGCTCCTTGACAGCTTCCGCTGTGATCCCTCCCCGCTTCCTCATCCATTTTTTTTAAAACATCTGCCTGGTCAACCCGGTCTCATCCCAAGACGTCATATAACTGACGTTTTGGGACGTCTTTTGACCATACGTCAATATTCGCCTTTTTAGGGCCCCCTTAAACGTCGGTAGATGAGGTTATGGGATCCTAACTCTACCCCAGACCTAAACTTAACCCTAAACCTAACCCGTCACCTAACTGACGTTAAAGGTAAAGCGTCAGTTGTATGACGGCCCGGGATCGCCATCTACCGACGTTTAAGGGGGCGCTAAAAAGGCGGATATTGACGTACGGTCAAAAAACGTCCCAAGACGTCAGTTATATGACTTTTTGGGATGAGACTGTGTTAGCCTGGTAGGCTTGGAGGATCGCCATAGCAGGAGCGATCTTAATATCTTAAATATCTTAATTTGTGTTCCGAAGATGAACGAAGGTCTTACGGGGTTTGGAACAACATGAGGGTGAGTAAATACTGACAGAATTTTCATTTTTGGGTGAACTAACCCTTTAAGTGCAAATATCCTGTGAAAGCATTTAGGATGGAGGTTTGGTTCACACCAACCAATCTTTCTTAAGAAGAACAGATTTACCAGTAACCAGGCTTTGTGTGCACCTGTGCATCCCACACTCTCAAACTCTTTCCTTTATTGACTCATTCAATGAGTTCACTTACTTTTTTCCCCATCGCATGTCAGTTCATAAATTTATACAACATTCTTCCTCTTTAATGTTTAGCTTGGAAATTATCATGAGTTTAAGTTTGTTTTCAAATATTTGTTTAATGAACTTTCCTTATGACTTTCCTTCACAAGTGTTGCTTTGCATGCGTGTTTATTCTTTTATGTGCTGAACTGACATGCTGCTGAACTAGTTCCTTGCTAGTGGCATTTTTGGCAGAATGCCTAAATGCCAGCAGGATAACAGATACTTAACATTTGCATAAACAAGCATTGTGATACTACCTGAATCGTGACAATATATAGTGAAATATTGCTGCCATTCAATGCATTTGAATTCACCCCCCCCCCTCCCCCTGATTTTGAAACATTTTTCATTTTAAATCTGTTCTATGACTAATCATATCACATCCTTGTTTCTTATAAGCATAAGAATGCAATCATTCCGTTTTTGCCACATGGTAAAGAGTCATTTTTTTTGCCACAGGCAAAAAAGATAAAGATAGCAGTTTCTTGGTAATTTTATGCAAACTACTCTGAACAATGCAAGTCAAGTCAAGTCAAGTCAGGTTTGTTAACATGCCTCATCATTCAAGTGTGATTTTTTTTTTATCACATGCACACGAATAGTTTACCCCCAAAATGAAAGTGCTGTCATTACTTAGTGTACTCACCCTAATCTCTTTCATAGAAAACACAAATAGGTTAATGTTCAGGGGCGAATCTAGGATTTCAGAGGGCCGAGGTGGAGCCAGAGGGATGAAGGTGGAGCCAGAGGGACGAGGGACCAATGTTGAGCCAGAGGGAAAGGCACCAAGGTGGAGCCAATGGGTCAGAGGGCCAAGGTGGAGCCAGAGGGACGAAGGTACAGCCAATCGGTCAGAGGGCTGAGGTCTAGCCAGAGGGACCACGATGGAGCCCGAGGGACGGGGGACCAAGCTGGAGCCAATGGGTCATAGGGCTGAATTGGAGCCAGAGGGATGAGGGACCAAGATTGAGCCAGAGGGAAAGGCACCAAGGTGGAGCCAATGGGTCAGAGGGCCAAGGTGGAGCCAGAGGGACGAGGGACCAAGATTGAGCCAGAGGGAAAGGCACCAAGGTGGAGCCAATGGGTCAGAGGGCCAAGGTGGAGCCAGAGGGACGAGGGACCAAGATTGAGCCAGAGGGAAAGGCACCAAGGTGGAGCCAATGGGTCAGAGGGCCAAGGTGGAGCCAGAGGGACGAGGGACCAAGGTTGAGCCAGAGGGAAAGGCACCAAGGTGCAGCCAATGGGTCAGAGGGCCAAGGTGGAGCCAGAGGGATGAGTGACCAAGGTTGAGCCAGAGGGAAAAGCACCAAGGTGGAGCCAGAGGGACGAGGGACCAAGGTGGAGCCAGAGGGACGAGGGACCAAGGTGGAGCCAGAGGAAAATGCACCAAAGTGGAGCCAATGGGTCAGAGGGCCAAGGTGGAGCCAGAGGGACGAGGGACCAAGTTGGAGCCAGAGGGAAAGGCACCAAGGTGGAGCCAATGGGTCAGAGGGCCAAGGTGGAGCCAGAGGGACGAGGGACCAAGTTGGAGCCAATGGGTCAGACGGCCGAAGTGGAGCTAGAGGGACAAGGGACCAGCACAAGCAGCACAAACCAACCTTAACATTAAAGACACCAGAAACCAAACTAAACTGAACAGAGGGTTTTCACAGAGACTGAACAAGATGATTAATTAGACATAGGTGAGAGCACTAATCAATAAAGAGCGGGAACATATATTTGAGTCATAACACATCAGTTATTCACAACTCTGACTGCTTGTGTAAAAACAACTGCTTCAAAGTTTATTTAGACTGGCCTTCCTGTATCTTTTGGGTTGCGCAGGCATGACGATATCTTCTAGATAACATCATCAAAATATTTGCTATCAGATAAAACATACAACAGAAGTAAGAGCTGAGTTCATAAATTATTTAGATAAGACATTTCTCTCAAGTTTAAACAGACATTTACATGTGTCAATATTGGATAATAATGGTTTCAAACGAATAGGATATGCACAAACTCTTCACAGGATCTATCTATCTATCCATCCATCTATCTATCTATCTATCTATCTATCTATCTATCTATCTATCTATCTATCTATCTATCTATCTATCTATCTATCTATCTATCTATCTATCTATCTATCTATCTATCTTTCTATGTATCTACAGTATCTATCTCTCATGTCTATCTCTTCCTCTAAACAGTATTACAGTGTGTTTAGGTGTGGGATTCACATGAGTAAGCAGTCGTACCGAAGACGGCCTGAAGTCAGTTGACACCCGAAGCTGATCACGCGTACAGTGTCACACAGAATCAACACTGACAGGAGCTGAGAGCCTTGTCACACTTCAGTTTTACTTTCCCCACAATGGCTTCATTGAACACCTGGAACATCTCCTTGGACATCAACAACAGCTATTTCAAGTCCAACTTCTCCGAATTAGAGGACACACAACCCACGGGGAAGAACTGGGTATCTCTGGTCATTCTGGCCATCATATTTTTCACTGTTGCTGGGAATATACTGGTGATTATGGCGGTGTCCATCGAAAGCAAGCTTCACAACGCCACCAACTACTTCTTGTGCTCACTGGCCGTAGCAGACATGCTGGTGGGATTCCTGGTTATGCCAGCCTCACTTATCACTATTCTTTACAGTAAGTTCTTCTTTTTTTTTTTTTAAACAACAAATGCACATAAATCGTCTGAAAATGTTTTTAAAGAATGCAAGCAAACCACACCTGAAACCGAAAGGCTGTATGGACGAGTCTCACAAAAACTCTCTGAATACTGTTTTTTGTTTGTTTTTTACTGTCATGAAAAAAAAAAAAAAAAGAAATTTCCTTGAATGGGCTTCATTGTTTTTAAGCCAAATAGATATTGGTAACACTTTACAATAAGGTCCTGTTCATTAGCGTTAATCCATTAACTAACATTAACAATAAGCAATACGTTTGTTACAGTATTTATTAAGGTCAGTCCATAAAAATACAGCTGTTCACTGTGAGTTCAGGTCAATTACTGTAAATAATATTAACAGATACAACTTTTGATTTTATTAATGTATTAAAAAATGTTTTAATTATTACTGTAGATAATTAAATGCTAATTTTGCATGTATTTATCAAATTTGACCAATGATTTCTATATTTATTCTGTTTTTGTGAGGTGAAATATAGCCCAGTAATGTAGCCCAAGTCATAACATATAAATTCAGTTAAGACCAAACCAATGTTTTTTTCAGGTATTGTTTTTTTTAGTTTCCTTTTGAGACTACTGAAGAAAAAAAACATTCAAAATTCACATTTTAGAGTTTATTTTATCTGATTTACTTACAGTGATAAAAAGAGAAATCTTATCTGTAAAACTTTAAACCTTCAACTGTAATATGTCAATGAAATCTGACCTGGCTTTATCCAATTTTTTTTAGATTTCTGTTCCACACTCTAAAAATGCTGGGTTGTTTTAACCCAATTTTGGGTCAAATGTGGACAAACCCAAACTTTGGGTTAAAAATTTAATTAAAAACATTAACGAAAAGGCTGGGTTTGTCCATATTTGACCCAAAGTTGGGTTAAAACAGTGTGCAGAAAAGTATGCAAAAGAGTGCATATTTAATTCGATGCATAATTTGCATATGTAAACATTTCAGAAACTTGTAATGCAAAACAAGAGTCTTACTGTGATTAAATATGTATGATACCTTAACATTTTTACTTTATTCACTCACTCTAAAAAATGCTGGGTTGTTTCAACCCAAATTTGGGTCGAATATAGACAAACTCAAATGTTGGGTTAAAAATGCAATTAAAAAAATGTACAGTTGAAAGTAAAAGTTACAGTTGAAAGTAAAAATTGAAGTTGGGTTAAAATCTGAAATACCATTTTTAACCCAACATTTGGGTTTGTCCATATGTTACGCAAATTTGGGTTCAAACAACCCAGCATTGTTTAGAGTGCAATGTCTTGTCTTAACTCTCTGGTGCTCAAAAATGACCAATTTATTTTCAATGAAAGAAATATCCTATGCAAAATATTTTAGGGGATTTTATGGTACATAATATTTACCAGTGTAGTTATAATCCATTCATACACTTTTTGAGCATAGTCCTGAAAATACATTTCCAACATAAACTGTGGTATATCTTGAATGCTTTAGAGCAACAGACTTAAGATAATTGAAAGAGATTATTGTAAAAAGTGAAATTAAAAAAGTTACAGAAATTTACATATTGTTATGAAAAATGCACAAAAGTACAATTTTAAATGTTTACTACAAGAAAATCAATGCCATAAATCTAAACATGTTCTGTTCCAAATTTGAGGTTGATATCTCAAAAAATGAGCTTTCAGTAAGATGTTGTTTGGCTGCAGTGCCGAACGCGTCCACTAGAGGAAATTCGTCAACCATTCATTTCCAATGCACTCATTTTTGACCACGAGGAGCGTGTGACTATTGTTTACAGGACCATTTAACCTTTTCGAATTATTGTCGAATGATTGTTTTGAGTGTTCACACAGCAAGTGTCAAAACTTTTACCAATTTTCCTACCATTCAGAAAGTTTTTATCAAAAATGACAGAAGAGCACCAGTGCACGCTGAAACATGTGAATGGTTTGTGAAGACACTAGGTTTCTACACGTATCTTCTGAAACGTCCTCCTCCTGTCTGTCTTCAGATCACACCTGGCCTCTGCCGGACCTGCTGTGCCCCATGTGGATCTTCCTCGATGTGCTCTTCTCCACCGCCTCCATCATGCACCTGTGCGCCATATCTCTGGACCGCTACATCGGCATCCGTGACCCACTCAAATACGGCCGCAGCAACTCACTTTGCAAGGCCATGCTCAAAATAATCAGTGTTTGGACCATTTCTATTGGTGAGAATGAAGCATCCAGAGTTACAAAAGATAGCGTTGTGGTTAATGATGGTTTAAAGGAGTAGTTCACTTTTAAAAAAATCCTTTGCTGATAATTTACTCACCCCCATGTCATCCAAGATGTCCACGTCTTTATTTCTTCAGTCGAAAAGAAATGAAGGTTTTTGATGAAAACATTCCAGGATTTTCTCCATATAATGGACTTCAATGGGAACCAAACGGATCCAAAAGACAGTTTCAGTGCAAACTGTTCAAAGGGCTTTAAACGACACCAGACGATGAATAAGGGTCTTATCAAGCGAAACGATCGCTCATTTAAAAAATAAATAAAAAAGTTTAAGTTTTAAAAGCTCAATTGCTCGCCTTGTTCTGTTCTGTGATGCGCGTTCGCGACTCTCCTGTTCGAACTCGTTCATCAAAACGAATGAATCTTTTTTCGAGTCATTTCGTTCGTTGAATCAACCAAATGACTCGAAAAAAGATTGGTTCATTTTCATGAATCGTTTCGCTAGATAAGACCCTTATTCATAAAACGCACACGTTTTGTCTGTCAAGATAATCTTTACAAGTTTATCAAAAATGTATACATTTTGAAGCCTATATAAAGTTTTTAAAAAACACAAGCAGACACAATAAAGCAGGTTATAACTGTGTGTTCTGTGTCATAGATCAAAACGTGAAAATATTTAGAGGCTTTGTTCACCACAGTCCTTATTTCAGGCGATTTAGCAAAAACCCATTCAAAAATCCCATAGGCTTTAGAGCGAGGGAACCGGCGGGAGTGCTAAAATGCTAACTCACTTCCGCGTTTTGGCAAACAGAGTGACGTCGTAACTTCGGCACTCTATAGGGCTTTGATTATGAGGCTTGACCGAACCAGGAACAAAGCACTATGCACTCAATTGGAACCGTTTCTAAATTAGAAACTTTGCGCGTCGCCGTCGCGTCTGGTTGGGACAAAAACGATTTACATGGAAAAGATCCTTTTATCGCGTGTCATGCCGCGTGTAGTTTGTTTTGAGTCGTGACAAAAAGTCTTTTAAAACGTCAATGACGTCATACACATCATACGACCAGAGATACTGTTTTACGGCAATCCCTCAGTCACTTTTGTGTGTTCACGCTCTGCACTTTCTGTTCTCTCGAGACAGCCGACACAGGTAAACACACGTGCTAGAAGAGTTAAGTCCACCTTAATATTCTGGACCCGCTTCCGATGCCATCAAGCGGTGTCTCCGGTCGTAACCAGTCCTTCACTGACCAACCAGCGTCCGTTAGGGTCATGGGCAACAACAACTCAACCTGTAAGAAATGGAAAGGACATAAGTACAATCTTAGAAGAAAAGGTTCTATATAGAACTTTAAAAGGTTCTATCAGCGCTACATATTTGGAACCCCTAAAAGGTTCTATACACTCTTAAAAAAGGGTTCCTCTGGGTTCTATATAGAACCCTGGGGTTCCATACTTGGCCAATAGAACCTTTTACCAAAAAAATGGTTCTATATTCCATATATGAAGCGGGGGATGGAACCATTTCTGGTTCTAAATAGAACCATTTCTTCTAAGACTGTACTTTCGACCTATAACCCGTGTTGAACTTCTCAACGGCAATCGAGTGAAAGAGACACATTTAGCCGTCTAGCCTCATAGACTCCCATTCATTCTGCACTCGGGTGATCGCCCCCAGTGGAACTCTGGTGGAACTACAACTAAAATTCAGTACAATAGGACTCAATAGGGAGTGGCAGGCTGACCGTAGGTGTTGCCAAATAATGCAGCCGTTGTGTGTTAAAACAAGCTTTCTGAAGTGATCCTTGACTCTTGTTGTTGTTTTCTTCTCTTCTTTCAGTGTTGTCGCTGCCCATTCCAGTGATTGGTTTCCAGGATAAGGAGAAGGTGTTTGTGAACGGCACCTGCGTGTTGAACGAGCCTCTCTTCGTCCTGGTGGGCTCATCCGTGGCCTTCTTCGTCCCTCTGGTCATCATGGTGGTCTGCTATTACCTGACTCTCCGGGATCTCCAGAAACACAGCTCATCTTTCCCGCTGGAGAGCAAGACAACGGACACGAGTCCGCTCAACAGAGAGTCCTCCTCTAGGAAGTTCAAACTTGTGTTCAGACCTCCACGAGGCCAAGATAAAAAAGCCATGATGCAAAATATCAAAAACGAGCAACGAGCCTCCAAAGTCCTGGGGATCGTCTTCTTCCTCTTCCTGGTCATGTGGACTCCGTTCTTCATCACGAACGTGCTGATCGCTCTCTGCCGGGACGACTGCGGGGAGGTTCTCTATAAACTCATTAACTTCTTCGTCTGGGTGGGATACGTGTCCTCGGGAGTCAATCCGCTGATCTACACCCTTTTCAACAAGACGTATCGCCAAGCCTTCGCTCGCTACCTGCAGTGCAGATATCGTGAGGAGAAGAAGGTCCAGTCCAACAGAACCTGCTGACACACGCTCACGACGGATCAGTGATAGACAAGGCGGACCTTTAGTTCGCCATCTCAAATCATCTAATATGAGGCTGTTTGATTGTTTGTTGCGAGTTTTATAAGATCAGTTTCTCTTTCTTGTGGAACAAATGTTTCCAACACAAGTAGGGGATAAACGTGCCTTCGATTTTATTCTCCCCTAAACCATAAAAACTTCCAGCTGCACTTTCATAAACAAACGCTTTTCAAGATGCACACATGGAAATTAATCTGATCCTTGAAATGACTGTGAATCAATAAAGATTGATTCTTGAGGTAATCTGATCGGCTAAAGAATGACTAAAATCGTTGAAAATATCTTAAGACAAATGTCGTCTTAAAGGAGTAGTCCACTTTTGAAAAAACGAGTAAATTTGATCATTTACTCGCCCCCATGTCATCCAAGATGTCCATGTCTTTCTTTCTTCAGTCGAAAAGAAATTAAGGTTTTTGATGAAAACATTCCAGGACTTTCTCCATATAATGGACTCCAATGGGAACCAAATGGTACAAACTGCAAAATGATTCCAGATGATGAATAAGGGTCTTATCAAGCGAAACGATCGCTCGTTTAATAAATAAATAACAAAGTTTAAGTTTTATAAGCTCAAATGCTCGCCTTTGTTTGTTCTGTGATGCGCGTTCGTGACTCTCCTGTTCAAACACGTTCATCAAAATAAACGAATCTTTTCCCGAGTCATTTGGTTGATTCAACGAACGAAATGAACGAGTTCAAACAGGAGAGTCACGAACGCGCATCACAGAACAGAGCAAGGCAAACAATAAACTTTGTTATTTATTTATTAAATGAGCGATCGTCTCGCTTGATAAGACCCTTATTCATCGTCTGGTGTCGTTTAAAGCCCTTTAAACAGTTTGCACTGAAACTGTCTTTTGGACCTTGAACCGTTTGGTTCCCATTGAAGTCCATTATATGGAGAAAATCCTGGAATGTTTTCATCAAAAACCTTCATTTCTTTTCAACTGAGGAAAGAAAAACACGGACATCTTGGATGACATGGGGGTGAGTAAATTATCAGCAAAAGTTTTTTTTTTAAAGTGCTTTAATAATTTTAAAGACCTTTAATAATTTTCAGTTTTGTTCACATAGAGGTCACTAAAAGCATTTTCTTGAATTTTCATGGGTTTTGATGGCATAATTGCACATCAATCAGTCTCTACACTGCAACCAAGTGCATAGTTGTGTGTCGACCCACTCCCCCTTCCAAACCAAGATCAGTCAGAAAGACCAAGTTGCTCTGGAATATTATAATACTGTATATTATATTGCATTAATAAGTTACATCACAGTTCAATTTTCCAAGTTTTGATTTTAGATCACTATTGTGGACCTCATGCTGTATTTCAGCTACGATTCATAGTGTGAATGCTGTTTTTGGATATACTTAATCTGCATTAACTGTTTTTGAGTGTAAATAAATGTATTTGTATTATTAGAATGTAATTTTTTTTCATTGACATCAGAAAAACACAGTAATGTGATTACATAATGAATGTGATCTGTAATGTGTTTGAGATTTATATTTTTGTATATATCTTATAGTTTTCACATGATTTGATATAATTGTTTTAATTAGTTTGTTAATGCACACACTATATCTGTTTGATTGTTGTATTATGTTTAATACAGTATCTCTTCAGTTTAAACCAAGTGGACATCTAAAAATCTCTTGAAAAATGTGTAATAAATAAATCAAATCTTGTTTTTCATGCCCTATAAGAGCAATAACACATCCTGACTGAGGTTAACATAATCCATGCATGAAAGGGTTAAAGCAAAACTTTTCCAATAACGGACGAATATGGTATTATAGACAACAATTAACATGATAATAAACTGCTGGCTGACTTTTCCATTTGTTGACATGACATGGTTATGCAGATGGGAAATATATATCAAACAAAAGAGATACTCGCCATATTTTAAAAATTAATATTAATCATATCATATACTGGTAATAAAATATTATTTGTTGTTATAAAGTAAATTAGTTTGTCATATTAATATATTGAATTATTATGGGTTCTCATTCAGTGCTTTCAGAATCTTTAATTCTTTGAAATTATTTCAAATAGTTTCTTTTTTATGACAGTATAGCCTATTTATTGAACAAAAATTATTTTATTTAACAAAATAAACAGACAATAGTACAAAGTTTGCTAAAGAGATTGTTTAGTATTACCTTACACATTATTAAAAACACATTATTTTAGCTAAAGTATTTGTTTTTGTGTCTTTTGCCCGGTGTGTCTGCTGTCAAATGCAATGCACACGCTAGTTGATATTATTTATTTATTTTAATTTTTTTCAGAATTATACATTAAATAATACAGTAACGTTTCACATGTGATGTTGGTTGATGTCAAGCATGTTTGTGTCAGGCTTCGCTTCAGCAAAAGATTTACTGTATAGTGGGAGAGCGCCACCAAGTGGTGACATTCATTTAATTTCTCAATGGTTTATGGGTTAGATACTACAATTATGATGCTTGTTATAACATATTTTGAAACATTACATTTCAGGTGATGGCCGGATACATTTCAGTTTTTCGCCTTCTTGATTGGAGCAGTTTGCATTTGAATTAAATTATAAAAACAAAGATTCTGCAATTAATGTATTTGTGCACATATTTCTTAGTTTGTAGGCATTGTTTAATTGTGTTATTGTTGTTGTTTTAGTCAGTAACCCTAACCCAGAGTGGGAAATGAATTAAATGAAATAGGTCAAGTATGGTCACACAAGGAGACAGAAGAAATTTTTATATAAATTTCAAATAAATAGAAGAAGAAGAAAAACTCTCTCTCTCTCTCTCTCTCTCTCTCTCTCTCTCTCTCTCTCTCTCTCTCTCTATTAACATTGCTAGATGTCTTGTAGTGTCAGGTTGTAATTTATTCAGGAAACATGGGTTGAAACCTATTCAAGGCTACAATAGTTCTCACGGTTTTTCCCACGCTGGACACAAGAGGATCCTCGCTGTCCCAAACCATACAAACAGTGGAGGAAGACTTTGAGAGGAAGACGTTGTTGAATTGGAGTAATTAGCATAAAATAAAGAGCAATTCCTAAACACTGAGTTAAATACACCGCGGTATGCGTATTACCGCGTCCAGGTACAAGTCGAGGCTTTTCCTTTGTTCAATGTCACAGTTCATGGGTTGAAGCCGGTTAAAGCTCTTAATTTTGAGCTCTCAAAGTGCACCAGATTGATGCATTTAACCTTAAAATGTACAAAATTTTCTTGCGGGGGACGGGGACCATGCCCCCGAACCCCCCTAGAGGGACAGATGTCTCAACATAGTTTTACAAAATCATATGGGAAAGAACAATAATTTATGAACTTTACTCCGAAAAAAAAAAAAAAATGTGTTTAGTAAAATAGTTAGCCTATGCCGAATTAAAATTGGACAAACTATAAATTTGGTCTACAAGACATTGTGACGACATTTTGTTCTAGAATTATAGTTTTTATCAAGCTTGTATATTATGATATATACACACACACAGAGAGACAAACAGGCACACTGCTTGTGCTATTGCCATCAATGAATGAATCAATAGAGGGAACAGGTTAACACATGCATACATATGCATCTATTGATTAATAATTTATGTTTATTCATTGATGGTAATATCACGAGCAAATAAATATTTTTTTCCTTGCCAAATATCAACTTTTGTCATTGTTTATAGGTTTGTGTGTATGTGTGTGTGTGTGTTCTGAAGTAAAATTTATTAGGTAAATAAATGCTACTTACGTTATTTGAGAAACTCCGCAAAAGCTCTCAATGAAGGCGTGATCTACGAGCAGCTGAAAAAACGCCGATGAAAACAGAAAGCAAAACAGCGCGAAGGTGCACTCAGTGGAATGGACTCTTTAAATTTCCGCGCTGTTATGACAGCGCATGTCACGTGACATTTCCAACATGGCGCATGTAGTACGTCCGGAATTCATTCATACTACCCGTATTCATACTATATAGAACGTACTTTTTTTAACGGTCGCGAAGTACGTTCTTATTTAAATGTAGTACCTACTCACATAGCACGCGATTTCGGACGCAACCCTAGTCCGACTGCCATAGGTATCAAGTTACGCCGCCCTCATCCAAAGGCAGGGCAGGGATATGCAACTCAGTTGCATTTAAGGTTGTATACACCAAAACGGCTCATTTTAAAACAGGCCCCAAAAATGACTTTTTCAAATAGTTATAATAAATTAACTGCGGGGTATTTTGAGCTGAAACTTCACAAATACATTCTGGGGACACCAGAGGCCAATATTACATCTTGTAAAAAGGGGCATAATAGGTGCCCTTTAAATCAAACAAAAGGAGCGTGTGTAAACGCAGTGAGCCACGCATCTCACGCCATGCACTGGAGCACAGAAGCATCATCATGCCCATTCAAACAGCACCGGTCTGATATTTCTGTGGTATTCCGCCATATATTATAGTTATCCACTTAACATGCTTAGAAAAGCGCAATGTTTTATTTGGTTTATATTAAGAAAGAACGGTGGAGTATCCCTTTAAGGGTGTAGAAAGCTTAAGGTGAACTACATTCAAGCCATGAAGATCCTGAACACCACACAACATCTCTGCTAGATCATCGCATCAATAGCAGAAATCGACTAAAGGCATTATTAAATCTGGACACCAAATTAATATGGGTTTCTAACGGGTTGAAGTGCAGTAGTGTGTGAACAGGAATTGTGATTATTGTGTGTGTGTGTATGTGTGTCTGCCAGACGATGGCACCATAAAGCAGCGAATCTGAGGCTGGAAACGGCCTACAAACAGCTTTAATTCAACAGTGCCGGGTTTATGACCTCTCATATGCCTATAAAGCATGGCCAAAATGATGGAAATAAAATGTCATCATAAAATTCAGATGTACAGTCAAAACAAAAATTATTCAGACACTGTATAATTTATATTGTTTTACTATTGTGTGCACACTAGAGTTCATTTCTGTGAGTGAGGAGAGCAAAATAAAGTAAACTGTGACATATTATACCCAAATATTCTTCATACAGAGACTAGAATGAGACATGATCTTTCATGTTTTGCTGAAGTGTGTTTTCTTTACTCTTTTTACACACACACTGAACAACATGAAGCATTGCTTGGTCACTGGTTGAGCTAAACTGGTATTATCTAATTGTGTAGTTCAATTTATCAGATATTTAACATAATTCATGTGTGAGAGTCCAACAGAAGGACGGACAAATATCCACTGAGTTCTGCTCATATTATTACCAAACTGATAATTTGAGAAATGTTGAAGGTGTCTGAATACATTTGGTTTGACTGTACATTTGATGATCTTTTGAATTAAATTGAGTGTTTACGAATTATTTGCAGTGTTTTGGGTGAAGATTCTTA